AACAAGATAGATAAATGGGGATAAAACGGTAGGGTCTCTTTCCCTCCCCTCTTCCCTTTACCCCCCGTCCATGGCCCCCTTTGTCTCCCTCCCTCGCGACAAAGAGACGCGTTACTTCTCTCTCTTTATGCCGTCGGAGGGGCGAAACGTGCCCGAGATAAATTCGTATTGGCCAGGCGACCTAACCTAACTCGGGCTCCGGCCTCCTTAGAATGCAGCCTCGGATGCGGCCATCCGAGGACCCACCCGATGCCGCCTCTCGCGTGCTCGCGGATATATTTACCGGCTCGTTAAAATCATTCCCGGCCTCCGCGAGACGTTTTCGCACAGAGGACGGGCATCCTCGCGATTCGCCCCCGTGTCCTGGGGACGACCGACGAGTCGCTCGTCCCACTCGACCTAACCTCTTTCCTCGCCTTTTCGGAGGTTCCAGAGTGTAGGACATTTTTGTCAGGTAAGCTCATCGACGAGTTTCTTTACCGTACAACTCATTCCACCTGAAAATGTAGGCAGACACGAAAATGTCGATTAACAACGGCAGAAGATGAGGGATCCCCTCACTGTGCTGCGGAAGGCACGAGAGTGGGGGAAAGCGTGCGCGCGCAGCGGCGCTTCCGCGCTCCTATTGGTCGTTCCCCTTCCATGGCGGAGACGAGACCACGTGACCGCGCCTATATTGGTTAACCATAGAATATAATTGTTATATGGGCATGCGAATATTCGGCTGACGCTACCGAAGTAACATATGTATTTATCAAGATTGTAGATACTAACCTGTCTCGTATCAGCAAGAACCCAGTTTAAACTTTAAAGTCCCATTGTTTCTAAAGACGTTTCCCAGCCCATGGATCTCGCACCGATTACGGGATTCCTTTTTTTTTTTCCCATTCCTCTTTGTAATATATCGAACTCCTGTATAATCTTTCGCGAATCCTTATTCGTTATCCTCTGTAATATCGAATTAGCGTGTAATTTTCCCTTTTATATTCTCATACGTAATATCGAGCTCGGTGTAACCTCTCGAGATTCGACTTGGCGTCGGATTGCGCGCCTCCCGGCGATTTGCGAGGACGCCCGGGTCACGCCGCCATATTGGTCAGGTGAGACAGGTTGAAATAATGGTTTCTTCTCGAGCCGACATTCACGGTTCGCCGTCTCTCGGTGTTTATGGCGCGCGGAGGTTCGCGCGGTCTTAGGTCGCGTCTAACGGCCTCCGGTCTCCCCCCCGTGTTCTCTCTCGCATTAATGAAATTAATCGGCCTTACCCGCGTAGACCCATTCTCCGAGAATAGACCGGGGCTTGCTGGTTCTCCTGGGCTGACGAGGTGTCGGCAGGACGTCGGTGGGACGTCCCTGGGACGTGCAGTAAAACGTGACCGCGGTCGTTAGGTCGCGCGGGCACGTGCGACCGACGCCGGGCGTCACCACTCGCGTCCGCCCCACTGCGAGTCGCGTTCAACTTGAGAGAGAATGCTCGTAAAATTGCGGTTTCATTTGTAAAGAAATGATTTCTTTTTTTTCCTTTTCTCTTTCGCGAGGGCAGGATTATAAATTGGTTTTCTACTTCACTTTAGAAGTTACTTTTACTTTCCTCCTGGCACCGAAAAACTAGATGGAGAATAGACGGTTAGGTAAAGAGACGCTGATATGAGTTTTAGGCACAAAAAGGACGAGTTTAAAACATTTCCACATTTCCATGCTATAATAGAATTCAATTAATTAATTTTGTCAATTTCTTTCCGTGTTAAAATGAAACTTTTTCGCTGTAAAGAGGTTTAAAAGAAAATTTTTTGGGGGCAATCGTACGTCATCGCGCGAATCGTAAACGGGACGTCCGTAATGAGTGAAAAATAGACGAGTTTAAAATATCTGCACAATTCCATGTTATAATAGAATTAAATTAATTTATTTTGTCAATCTCTTTCCGTGTTAAAATTAAACTTTTTCGTTGTAAAGAAGTTTAAAAGAAAATTTTTTGGGGGCAATCGTACGTCATCGCGCGAGTCGTGAACGGGACGTCCGCAATGAGTGAAAAAATAGACGAGTTTAAAATATCTGCACATTTCCATGTTATAATAGAATTCAATTAATTTATCTTGTCAATCTCTTTCCGTGTTAAAATTAAACTTTTTCGCTGTAAAGAGGTTTAAAAGAAAATTTTTTGGGGGCAATCGTACGTCATCGCGCGAATCGTGAACGGGACGTCCGCAATGAGTGAAAAATAGACAAGTTCAAGATATATCTGTACATTTCCATGTTATAATAGAATTCAATTAATTTATTTTGTCAATCTCTTTCCGTGTTAAAATGAAACTTTTTCGCTGTAAAGAGGTTTAAAAGAAAATTTTTTGGGGGCAATCGTACGTCATCGCGCGAGTCGTGAACGGGACGTCCGCAATGAGCGAATCGCGGTCGCTAAACGACGCATTTTTATAAGATCGAGCGTGCCAGGGAAGTCCCGGATTGCTTAATTCGATTGCCGGGTACAAGATGTTTTTCGGCCGGGTCTGCTTTCGGGGGAATAGCCCCTGGCCGTTCGCTCGGTGATAGCATTACCATATTTAACCATAACGGCCGGCGGCCCCTTGCGTGGGGCTCCTCTCTGACCATATCGAGCATTATGCAACGAGTCTCTGTACCGTCGTTGCACCGCGCACGGAAAAAAGAGATTTAACGCCCGAGAGAATTTCATTCTATTTGCTCGGCGAACGAATTCTCCTCGTCCGTTTGGTTATTCCTTAACTCTCGAGGCTTCGTGCAATTGTATTCTGGAAAAAAGAAATATTTTCTAATGACAATGATCTTCTTTGATTGCAATCGGAATTGTGCAACGGGAGGCGACGCAATTTTTCACGATTTCATGCCGACGGTTATGCAACCACGGAATGTTTTGAGACAAGACTTCTGTCGAAAATGAAGATCCTGGGAACGGTGTCTTTGTCGTTTTGGAATATTTCATGTTTTCCATATATATATATTTTTTTCCTACATTTTATGAAACTTTCCAGATGCCTCGAAAGAATTTGCTAAATTCCCTGAGTCTGTGAGGCCTCGTAAATGTTATTAAAAATTATATAGCTGGGGATTTCAAAGGATGGGGTTTGACTTTTCGAGAGATTCTCGGAGCACGTTTCATATTATTCTGATTTCATGAGAGCTTCCAAGATCTCTGTGGAAAAAAAATCAGGAGTTTCATATTTCTACGCGATGTGGAAAATTGCCTCGTCCATGGGGTCGCGTCACTTAAATATTGTTTTTAAAATGGTATATTTGGAAACGGCAAAGGAAGTCGTTTATTTACGTTTTCGAGAGATCGCCAGAGCCCGTTTCAAACGGTTTAAACGACATCGCATGTTTTATACATGCTCTGACGATCCAGACATTTCACGGGGAAGTCCTGACGTGATCGTTGTATTTTAATGTTCGCCTCGCCGGGAAGAAATTGCGAAGGAAAATTACATTTTCCTGCGCATAAATCGTCGAGGCACAAGCTTCGTGACTTCCGCTCAATATGATTGGGGAAAAGAAAAAAATTTATTCACGATTTTTCGTCCGTTTATAATCCGATGGCATGGAAAAATTGGAAATAAAAATTGGGATTGTCGGCTTAACGTGTCACTTGGAGGAAATATTTTTGCCATTTTCGGCGTCAGACGTGCCGCTCTCGACAGATCGAACCTGCTTTCATTGATTATACACGGTTTCCATGGAAGCTAGCCGCGGAATATGTTCTACGATAATCGCGCGGCTACGGTGCATTTAATCATCTCAGATTCAGTATTTCTATGGATGGTTGTATCGTTAAAAATTTGTGTTCGACCATATATTTCGGTGGCCATTGTCCTGGATTATGAAAAAAGGGGGGAACCGATTCCTTCACTACTGAAATAAAAAATACGCAAATATTAACGCAATAACATTTCGTGCTATTTCAACGTTTCAAACGTTTTTATCGTATCACGTTTCGGTTCCTATTGTGTACTGGATTGTTAAGAAAAAAACGCAAGACGGAGAATTAGGCTTATTGGGTACTGAGGTAAGAAATATTTAAACATTTACATCGTAGCAATTCACGCAATAACGATTGGGAATGTCACGGTCGCGGTTTTTTTCGAGAGTGGTCGCATTGAAAAGTATACTTCTCCTAAAAAATAAGTTGCATTAAAAAGTGCACTTTCCGTAGAATGACTCGCATTGGAAAAGGGGACTTCTCGTAAAAGTTATGGTTTTTAAAGTGTTAGCATTAAGAATTGCATTGGACGGTGCACTTCTCGTAAGAATATCGAGTCTCTTGACAAGCGGTTATCAGTCTCGCGAAGCGTGGGAGTACTTTCTTTACGTTTTTATCCTGCAGAAGGGCCTTATCAAATGCGGCTTTCATTGGTTTTCGATAAACGCGATACCTATTTTCACCTGGATAAAGGAGAGTTTTCATTGATCGTGCAGGGCGTTTCTGTCTCAAAAAATCCCGATTGGTATTAAAGCGAAACTTCCTCCTATCAGTGCCACTTAGAGCGTACCAAGTGCGAGATCTTCGCCGCCCTTGTTCTCGTTACTTTACATATCCGATTATTATGCACTTCCTGAATTGCAATTCCAACCGAGAGTCTCGGAGAACGTTGGCGTGAAAAAATAACCCCGTCGCGATTTCGCGGCGGTTTCCTGTCGGAAATATCGAGGGCCCTCGTTTGACACCCAATTAATTACTTAGCGCTGACCTCGGGGTCAATAATCTTCCTATCGGGTACTTTGAGTCGGCTCGTGAATGTGGAGTTGCAGCCTATACAGAGTCCCAAGAGGTCGCCGATCGAAAAATAACTCCCCGCGTGCCGATCTGACGAGGATCGATTTATTTTTAACACTTTTGCCACGAGAGAGCGAGGATTTCTTTTCTTCTTTCTACGCTAAGTTTATTATCTTATATCGTTCCTTTTGTTGCGATCAGTTGCAAATTGCTGCTCCCCCCATAAATCGACCTTTTAATACCTATTTATTATTTTTTAACACGACCATTCGCAAGGGTTTCTCTCTTGATTTTCGATGCGCATAAAATTAACGTAACATTGAATAAAAGTAATTTCTTATTTTAATTTACTAGCCTCGACTTTATCATTTAATTTATATGTATAAAGGTCTCTGGAGGATCGCATGTGAGGACAGATTTTCTTTTTTTCTATTTAGCCTGAGGTCGTTGGAACGAAGCGGTCATATTTCGCAGAAATTTACCCTGCACTTTTAAGCCGCCTTCGTTAATGCCTAATGAGTCATACGCAATGCGTGCCAATTATTCGATCAATACGGATAGCGAGTGTTCAATGGGCGATAATCGACATTGAATTTGCACGCAAGGATCGCAAGGATTTTTTTTTTACAGATTAGGAGAACTAATCATGTCAACTGAATTGGGTGCAGGAATTCTCTTACAATTAAATGACAGAACTCAATATTAATTATAGATTATTATATCTACGATGACATAGTCCACGCGATGACGGATTGCTGTTACGTAAAATTAAATAAATAGAATCCATCTATAATGACAGTCTTCGGGTCTCCCTGACGTAACAGGGCACGTGGGCACCTTTTTCTTCAATTGAGCAAATTGCATGCAATTTGTCCTCAATTGTCCACGTTCTCAGGTGTTCTCGAAGTAACCGTATATCTAGTTTTTTTTTTTTTTTATTAAAATTTGTCTCCCCCTCGTTGCATTTTTGCGTCGCATTCTAAGACAGGAATGTCCAGTTTTGTTTTATCTAATTTTATTTACTCGAGTTTATTAATGATCCCCTCACGTGTTCCGGGCTCGTATCGATAGCGCATGTGCTCGGTTAAATTTAATCGATTGATCACGATCGATGTACAACGCTCTTCGGAACGTCCACCTGTGTTTTTTTTCCCGTTTCCGTGGTACTTGGCTTTCGGTCTTCTTGTCCTTGCCAGGATCATTCACTTCCGGCTCTTCGCTGGCAGTGCTCCTTGCTCTGCTCTCCTCTCAATTTAATTTAATTCCTCGTAACATAACTCGAAATATTTATGACAGATAATGACTAGGTCAGAGTTTCTTAATAATTAATAATCCCAGTCGAGCCCTTAAATGCCAAGGGAGTTCCGACGAAAGAAATCGAGTAGTCCCAATTCTTCTAGGACGAATTCCTCAGCGTCCAGGTATTTTTAACCCCATCGGGCACGTATGTCCTTACGGTCACTTCCGCCGAAGACGACGTCCCCAGGGTCGTCCAGGTCTTCGTCGTGCATTTCGTTTGATGGCCTTTTTCTGGCGTTCGAGCTCCTCTCCGATCTCCTCTTCCGGTCTCCTTCCTGACCTTGCCAGGATCGCTCGCTTCCGGTCTTCTCGGAAGACCTCCGGTGTCTCGTTCGCAGCGCACCTCGCCTCCTTGGCCGACGTACTTGACCCTGGCCTTGGAGGAGCCGTGACCTAGGACAACCCGACCCCCGTCGCCGACGTACTCGATGTCCCCCGAGTTCTGGACCACTCTCAGGCTACATCCGTCCCCGGAAACCCGCAGACTTCCCAGGTTCTCGGCCACTCTGATCCTGCAACCGTCCCCGGCGATCTCCAGGATCTGCTCGTTCGAGTCCACCTCCAATCGCAGACCGTCTCCTCGGTATCTCTTCACCTCTCGTCCGGACCCTTTGGAGGCTGCCTCTTTCATCCTATTCTCTTTCTTCCCTTCGCTTTGACTCGATTTTTTTTTTTATTTTTTTATTTCACTTCGCGTGCTCCCGTTAACGGTGCACCGGAGATAGAATACCCCACGTGGCTGGGATTGATCTTGAAAGTGCTCATGAAATTCACGACACTCGACAATGATTTGGAGAAGCTGATTTTTCGATTTTTTTTTTTATTTCACTTCGTGTGTTCCAGTTAACAGTGCACCGGAGATAGAATACCCCACGTGGCTGAGATTGATCTTGAATGTGCTCATGAAATTCACGACACTCTCACAATGATTTGGAGAAGCTGATTTTTCGATTTTTTTTTTTATTTCACTTCGCGTGTTCCCGTTAACGGTGCACCGGAGATAGAATATCCCACGTGGCTGGGATTGATCTTGAAAGTGCTCATGAAATTCACGACACTCCACAATGATTTGGAGAAGCTGATTTTTCGATTTTTTTTTTTATTTCACTTCGCGTGTTCCCGTTAACGGTGCACCGGAGATAGAATATCCCACGTGGCTGGGATTGATCTTGAAAGTGCTCATGAAATTCACGACACTCGAAAATGATTTGGAGAAGCTGATTTTTCGATTTTTTTTTTTATTTCACTTCGCGTGTTCCCGTTAACGGTGCACCGGAGATAGAATATCCCACGTGGCTGGGATTGATCTTGAAAGTGCTCATGAAATTCACGACACTCTCACAATGATTTGGAGAAGCTGAACGTGAAACCGAAGCGAAGATTTTCGGTTTCCTTATCCTTATTACCGTGGATGTCCTTCGGAGTATCTTCTGGTTTTTTACTTCGCTTCCTCGTTTTATTATGTTCTCTCGATTTCTTGGTTAACTTCCTTTCCTTGAGGCGGTTTTCACTATTTTATTCGTTATTGTTATTATTGTTGTTATCATTATTTCAGGTTAACTTGGTTGTTTCCTGTCACAACGTTGAGACGAGTATTGCACCTGCGTTTGCTCCTATTTTTCGGTTTCCACTTCGTTCACCTTTCTTTCACGCGTTTTCTTTCTACTTAATCTTTGTCTTTTTTAGGCAATTTTTTTAATAAGCGTATGGATTACTAGCCGCGGGACTGGAGCCGCGATGTGTCGCGACTTTGCCGATTCTGCGGCATATAACCGCTCTCCAAGGCGTATTTACTACACCGTATACCGACGTCTGCGTCATCCACAGCTAGTTGCCTTCCGAGGTTCTTCCCCTGACTCTTACCAATACCGAGCCGACTCCTGATAATGATTACATAATCATTCGGAGCCCTGGTCGCGCACACTCCTTCAGAGAGATCTCACGTTTTGCAGCAGTGGTTTCGACGGTTCCTGGCCGCGCAATCTAACCGGCCAAATGTGGAATCGAAATTCCCAACCGGCCGATTTCATCGATATTAGGTCTTCGAGTCTCTCCGAGGGTATTCCTGCGCTCCGATGTCACGCTCCGGAGCTCCGAGGAAAAAATTGCCTCCGACTCAAACCACCTGGAAAATCATAACTCGAGCCACCGCGAGGGGAATTGACGTCCATTAAAATTAGCTTATAAATCCATTAGATACTCCACCTCGAACTCGCTCCACTCGATCGGATGGAATATTTAAAAGGCGTATCGAACGACGATCGGCGATCCCGCGATTTTGCGTAACGAGTTATTGGAGCGTATAAGGCCCTGAGACAATTTCGATCTTGGACCCTATGTTCACTCTAATTATGCCCGGGGATGATAATGCATCGCCAAGGCGTAATGCGAATAATTCCATGAGTTGGTACCGCAAATTCTTGGTTAATAATTGAAAGCTGGGCCTTTATTTTTACACCCATCGAAAGTCCGGAAATCGGGAGGTATACTTATTGTTTGGTATTTTTTATGAAAAGTACTAGTTTGGTGAAAGGATCGTTGGTTTTGAAAATAAAAATTGAGGACAGCCTGTTTTCTTTTTATTTCTTGGATTTTTCCAAATTTGGTGTATCGACTTATATTCCTATTCGAAAAAGTGAAGTCGATTTCGAGTAAATTGTGTTATTTCGAGTTTCGGTCAATTGTCTTTGGTCGTTTGGAGGGGTAGGAATTACTTTTTTTATTTTTTTATTTTTTTCGTTTTCCTTAGAACAAAAGTCCGGAACATTAAAATTGCCGTCGACGTCACGTTGTCATTTGACTTTGGCAGAAAAGATACTAAATAAAGCGTCTGTAGCTATGCCAGATAGTGATCTCGATTTTCTCCTGATCGCGGTGAATCGATCATCGAAAATATGTCTGCAATAGGATTAGGGTATTAATCGGGATACTGCGTATCTCTCGAGGATCGATTTTGGGGCGATTTTTCACGAAGCATCGTAACAAATACATACGTGCTCCTCCACTCGATCGGGGAAGTCCCGAAAGAGAGAGTCGTCCTTGGATGCCGGTCTTGCACAAGTGTTTGAATAGATTCGACAAGAGCCACACAAGATTGAGACGCTAATTATTCCTTCGGGGTATCCTTGGCCTCGCTAAGCTTTAAACTTCGGAGCAGCTTCCAGGGGATTTTCTTGAAAATCCTCGGGAAGATCGTCGAATTTTAATTCCACATGACCTTAGATTTTAATTAAAATTCTCATTCATATAAGTAACATAGACTTTAACGTCAATTCGCATGGCTTAAGGAATTTATAAAACGCGTAAAGGGGAGTAATACGAGAAATTAATAAGATGAGATAACGCGTCTAGGAAATCAAATTGCTTGTGTTTCTTTTCTTTTCTTTTCCTTTTTTTTCCCTCATTATTTTGCACAAAAGAATTTTACACGTCTTAACATTACGCGACTCGTAAAAAAAAAAAAAATGTGCAAATCAGAGACTGATACGAATTTGTTCGGGGTAATGTAAAGAGATAGTGATGCGGTTTTGGTTTAAAAAGTTATTGCGATTACCGAAGTAATGCAGTTTCTTTGGCGAGCAGTACACTATGTCAAATTGTGTAGCTTCCAGAGTTTATTAATTTTTTCGTTCAATAAAGATCTGGTAAGGAGGGAAATCTTCGCCAAGTAAGGGCAAATGATGTACTCAGAAATGATAAGTTACCACACAATAATCTTAATTTCTTATTTTCCATGCCTATTAGGGAATTTCCTGCTCCGGTGGCTCCAGAAATAGAAACCAATCGATGTGATATAAACCGTGTAATAAATAGAGGTCTCTTTGTACGACGAGAGGGAGAATTGGTTGAAATTGGCTCTGGTCGTCCGTTTTTGCACGCGCGTTAGGGACGCAAACTCCGTAAATTCTATACAGCGACGTGCGTCGTTAATTATCACCGGACGTGGCCCTGCCCTCTCTCGCCTATGGCATTCGTTTATAGACATAAAGGGATTCGAGGGAGTTTCTCGAGGATTTCCCGATTCGACGGATATGAGGTCCGAGTCAATTCGAACGGGCGGACCCTGGCTTTCCTGCGACTTCCGGGACGAAATTGCCCTCGGTACTTTCCGCGGGAAATCACCGCGTGTAATTCTCGCCTCGCTTTGCGTCGAGGTCGAGAAATCGCTTGATCGGCTCGGTGATTCATTCCGGAATAAAAAAAAAAAAGAAATACACATTTTCTCGCTTATCCGGGGTTTCTAGAAATCGGTGGTCCGTTGATAAAACTTGGGACTTCAGAAATCCGTTCTTAAAACGGAGGACGCCAGAAATTCGATGTTAACACGTAGGACGTGGGAAATTCAATTTTAAGACGTAGGACGTGAGAAATTCAATTCCAGGACGTTTGAAATTCCCTTTTAAAACGTCGGACGATAGAAATTCAGTGGCAAAACGTGGAACGGTAGGAACTCGATTATAAACCATGGGATGTGAGAGATTCATATTTAGAACGTAGGATGGTTTAGGAATTCACGATGGAAATGCAAAATGTTAGAAATGAATTTCTCGTAACATTTTCGGACATTTAACGTAATATTTTAGGCTTTTATTAAAAAGACCGAGGAAAAAGGAATTATCGTTCAGCTGCAGATTTATGAAGTGCGGATAGTACCACTATCCATATCTGTATGCTACGTGGAAAGTATCGTTTTATCTGAAGTAGGGTGTTCATCGATTGTGGAAATGTCGATAATGCACGTGGAGGAAGAAAGTTGACAAATATTTTCTTCAATCCTTCGGCTTTTATTTCCTAACCTAGAAGGAAGTGGCGGGGGAAAAGAAATCAGTAGGTCGTGAACTTCTATATCTAGTAGTGGGACAATTGCTTTGACATTTCCCCGACACGCCTATCGAATATTAAATGATCGTCTAGCGTCATTTAGCCACGATTGTTTACGACAAGTGTGTAATCAATTCGTCGTTTTTCCACTGACTCGTCCTTGTTAAGGTGAAGTGAAACCCCCTTCAAATGAGTCGAAGAAAATCTACGAGGAGTTAAACGTTTCTGAAATTTCACTTTAATATTCACGAGGTGAAGTGTCAAACGATTCGGTGCACCCAGTTCGGGGGAAAATTTTCCTAAACGAGACTCCATAGACGCCATTTTCTTTTCGCCTTAAGGTGATATGAAAATATATATGAAATTCTACCACGTGAATACGAAGGCCCTATACTGAGAAAACAGATTAGCCTTACTGAGAGAAATATACATTGTTGTCCGAATCGTATATAATTGGAAGAAACAATTACTTTGTCGAGAAGAAAAAATTATATCGTTAACTTAAACGAATTTCATTTGGCATTTCTTTGGACGCATTTGATCGCAGGATCTTATCACAGCAATGCATATTTCTTTGAGTCAATCGACGTTTCTTTTTTTTCCTCAGTGTAAGGAAGGTCCTGACACTTGAAATTACAATTTTTATACAAAAATGTAGGAGACGATTAGAAGCAAAATTTGTTTAAATTGATATTTCACGGATATCAGGATCTTCCGGCAGGCCTTCGCATTCACGCGGTGAAGTTTCGTTCACGAGGTGAACGATTAGGTGCATCCACTTCGGAGGAAAGTTTCATAAACGAGACCCCTCGGACGCAACTTTCGTATCACCTTAATCTCCCGTTAATTAAACCAACGAGAGACAATGATGCCGGCAGGCTTGCTGCGTAGAAACTCGGTTTCGCGCCATTTAAATCCGTTTCGCCTCGATTTCGAAATGACCGAAACGCGTATATGCGCGAGCTTATCCGGGTTAGGTAACACCTCTGGAACATGTTCCAGGATGAAAGCCGACTCATGAGTAAGACGACGGACGAAAGGCCTGATATGGAGACCCCGGAGGATAAGAGCAATCTGAAGGTCTCGTCGGGCCAGAACGTGGCCAGGCAGGACTCCGGGGTGCCCGAGGACCTGGCCTCTCCCACGGGAGAGTCGAAGCGGCTTAACGAGGAGGATCCCGATGGCACGATCAACAGCGACTGCAATATCACGGTAATCCACGTCCCGGCTGATCCCGCGGACCGCAAGGACGACTCCGCAGATAGGAAGGACCTCGCCGAGGGCAAGGACAGCAAGGATGGGAGCGACAGCGGGGTCGAGGGATGCGCCGCAGAAGTTCCTAGGGTAAACCATTACTTTCTTAATTGTCGAAGTGGATCCTGACATTTTACCCTGTGATTTAGACTTTTATTACCTTTCCTCAGAAAGTAATATCGCGGTTTTTCCGAATTTAATAATTTGAGAAAGGCTTATACATGCGTCCAACGTTAGGTCCATAATCGCCTGCACGGCCACGGGAATTTCGCCCATACGTCGAGGTTTGTTCTCCAGGGGGAGAATTACTTATCTTGAGAAATCTTCATTTCGTTACAAAGTGTTACGATGTACTCTACACTCGTGCAATAAAAACGTCGGGAAAAATTCAGAGATAGAAGATATATATTTTTAACATCCTCTGGACGTCTTCATCCTTAGACGTCATCATTTCTAAAAGCTCCATGGTTACTCCCGATGACATTGGAAGGGTCTGGGTTTAATTATTCCTGATTACTTGGTTGGGAGGGTTTAATTGCGACTGATTACTTGGAAAGGGACAGGTTTAATGATTCTTGATTACTCTGGAAAAGAAAAGAGTTAATGACGAGGATGAGACATTGTTTTGTACTCTTTACCTTGCAGCGTTTTAAGGGATGTAATGGGTTTAACGAAGGTCCACTGGCTTTGACGATTTTTTTTCTTTCCTTTTATTTAATCCTTTAGTCATATTAAATAACATCAAAGTCACGTCTCGATTCCTGAATCATGTAGTACACTTTATATTATTTAATAACAGGTTCGGAGTCGAAATGGCTTGGACTATGCAAGCAGTTGCGGCGGCCTGGACGAAGCATCCTGCGACTCGAGTCTAGTCAGCTGTTGTTCCGTTTACGAGGACCCTTGCGCCATTCTTCCGGATGATTTACGGTTAACGACGGGAGGAGAAGGTAGGTCTTCTTTTCGTGTCCTCCGTTCCATTCATCGACGAAGCGCGGTCTCGAGCCTACTCCAGCTGCTCTAAAAATGAATGGTTAACGAGTAATTAGACCGTAAAAGTGACAATCGATTGATTATCCCGTAGGCCGCGAGGCCCAGAAAATGTGATCTCGCGATGAAGATCACCAGGTGACGTAACTGCATCTGGTTAATTTCTTAAAGGTACCAGCGAAGGCGGCAGCGAGAGCTCCTCCATCGCAGGGAGCGTGTCCGCTCGAGCAAGTCGGACGAACGTCAAAAGGTCCGCCATAGCGTCGAGCTCGGGCAAGAAAAAGGCTTGCTCCACTTCGGAACCGCAAAAGTCGACTCGGGCGAAGCCTGCACCTGCGAATGCAGCTTACACGCAGGTGACACCGAGATCGAAGCCGCGGACCGCGGCTCCCAGAGCGATCCTGAACAAGGCCCAGCCCACGCCGAAGGACAGAGCCAGGTCCAGGGAGAAATCCCTGGCCAGGGAAGGATCCTGCGAGACGCCTGCGACCAGCACGGCAAGGAGTAACAACGCATTTAGGTCAGGATCGAATCCCGGCTTGCCCAGGACGAGGACCAGGCCGATACCGGACACGTTGCCCTCCGTGCTGACCACAGAAATCAACAAGGATCTGGCCCAGAGAGGACGAGGCACCAGCACGTCCAGGTCGCGAGGAGGTCCGCATTAGTTTGACTCCCTTTATTCCGTATCGTCGTGGTTTTTGGTTTGCACTTTTTCTCATGGAAGTTGTCGATTCAGGTGCGAACACCCCGGCTCGGACTCCAGGGTCGACTCCGTCCGAAGAGGCCAGGAAGCCTCTGTCTACTCCGAGGAACCTGTACTCCGGGAGGGTGGACCTGAAGAGCACCCGCGGCGACAGAATGGCCATCAGCTTGGACAACAAGGCCCTGGATGCTTATGCCACTCTTCCCCGCAGGAATCGGAACAAGTTCACCGTCCCCAAGACCGCCGAAAAACCCGACAAACTCGCCAGGAGCCGATCCGGCAGCAGGGACGCGAGCATCGGCAAGAAGTCCAGCTCTTCCAGGGAGTCCTCGTCCGTTTACAAGAGCCTGCCGCCCTATCCCAGGACGAAAAACGTCGAGAGGACCAGGATTTATCACGAGACCTGCGTGCAGACCGGATTGACCGGTCATGATATCGAGAATGCATTGGCAGGGGTCGTGACGAGCATCCCCGACTCCGAGATCGTCGAGAGGCTTCAACAGGAATCCCAGACGCAGGATTCATGGCCCGACGTCCAGGCGATGCAGCAGGAGCTCAAACGGGTTACCGAGGAGGCGCAGATAAGGAAAAAGGAGAACGAGAAGCTCAAGGTCGAGGTTGCCGAGGTCCGGAGACTTTTGGAAGAGGAGCAGGCTGATCACGCGTTTGCGAGGCAGGAGCTCGACAGAAATGCTCAGAGGGTCTTGGCGATGCTGGGAACTCCGCAATCCGAACGACCTGGTAAATGTTTGTGGATTCATTTGGACGTGGACGAGTCTATGTTTTGCTTGACTGATGTGGATCGATTCCTTAGAAACTAATGGTTAACTTTGATAACGGTAGCCTGGAGTGTATAATAATTTTTAATTAATACTTTGTTACCATTGCAGATAATAACGACAGTTTCCTTGAACTCGAGAGCCATTTACAGTCCTCTGGGCAGGTGGTCGCAAATCAGCAGGTCGAGATCGCGGATTTACAGTCTCTCTGTCGTATGCTCAGCAGGGTACGTTCCGAAAAGATGCGATCATAATCTACGGCCGGAAGAATGCATCACAGAGGGAAATGTATTTTTGTCGACATTGCAGGATCTTGAGAAAAGTTTAGCAGCTCAGAAGACCCTTCTTCAGCAACAGCAGGAGCTGGAGGCAGAGTCAACGGAGATGCAGGACTTCCTCCAGGAGGAAAAGGCCACAATGGCCGAAGCTCTTAAGGAAGCTGAGGTGGAGGTAAATCAGATTTTTATTTTAACACATTTTTCTATCTCAACTGTACTAAGCTAAAGATAAATGCTCGTTAATGTTATCGGTGTGTATAAGCGTCCAAATGTTGATTTGTGTAGATTAAACGTAAGGAGGAGCTGTTGCTTCAGAAGGAAGCCGACTTGGAGAGGCAGACCGAGGAGTGTAAACATCTCGTCCGAATCAGCGAGCAGAGGAGGTACGTGATAAGAACTACGCATTGTGGATATGTGTAACATCGTAGATAATTTGTCCAGGGAAAGTGTGGTATTCCTTGTTATCGTTCCTTTCCTTTAAATAATTAATTTTTCGATGCGTCATTATTTTTTGTTTGAATGAGTAGCACCCCTTTAGGCTTCTGCAACGTTTAAAAGAAATTATGTACTTAACCGAATCATTCTTGGCAGGCAAGAAAATCTGTCGGTGAGCATGAAACTTAATGCGGTCGAACGGAGAAGTAGGGAATTGCTGCTCACCCAAGGAGCTGCGGTGTCAGGTGCAGCTGTTGCTCTTTCTGGTCTTGGAACTCGACTCGAGGGACTGGTAGACCAACTCGTCAGGTCTTACAACATTTCGGAAAAAGATCTCGAGGTACTGCGAGGATTAACCAGCAGATTACATTGACAGTCATTCTCTGCAATGGAAGGCGCAAATTATAATCCATAAAACCCTTCATTCGCAGGATGTGGTTTATCATAACGAGGCGTACAGTCGAAGTAACAGCAGCGTCGAATCCAGTCCTGTCAGCTCAAAGCACAGCTTGAAGGAATGCACACCAAGTCCTAAAAGAGGATCCTTCGTGTCCGCCGTTATCGGAGCTATCAGAAATGGGGCCACTCATCCATTCGCAGCTAGGTACGCCGATAAAAAGTCCTGCCTGGATACACAGAAACAGATGTACAAAGGTAAGAATGGATCCGTATCATTTTTGGTAACATACTTTATAATTAAAAATCAACTTTGAGTACTTTCAACTTAATGATGGGGTCGTGATTACTTCTTTATTTTTATGTAAAGCCAGTGTAAGTACTCTTGCATTTATGATTATTTGTAGAGGTTTGTACGGAAGTATTGAATGGATTTATTGTCAATTTTCAGAACCGAGCTTGGAGTCGTCCTCCGATTTACTCGATTTTGAGACCGAACCGTGCCTGATGATGGAGAGCGTACTCGAGGACGTACCTTTGCCTGATACTTATTCCCATAATATGGTATCGAGTAGCGACTCCATTCGTCGAGCTTTGAGCGTGCCCGAATCGGTAGATGAGAGCGCGATCAGAATAGGCAGATATACGGATGAATGTTCTAGTCTGACGAATCTCTCGCAAGCCATATTGCACAGGCGCAAAGTAAGGGGCAAAACAAATATAAGATAAATTATGAAAATTGTAAATAGATACACGTTTGGTAAGGTATCAGGGGTACAATTTGTATGATTTTGTAGGTTGAAGATGAGGAAGATGAAGACTGCGAGACTGCAAGTGAATCCGATGCGTGTGTTACGGATGGTCCTGTCCCATTGACCGATTACTGTCCTGCAGTGAGCCTCGTCGATCAAGTGATCGACGTGGACAATTTTGTAACTAAACTTTTGAAGGTCCTTCGCATAATCCAGCTGGATAACGACACGTGCATTCAGGAATTGAAGGAGGAAAAGTAATTTGACATTTTACGAAGATATCAATTGATCTAGGCTTTTTACATCTGTATTTCGCTGGATATACTATGTCACTTCTTCGGGTTAATATGCCTGAAATGTGTGGGTGTGTGTCACTGTCATATTTTTCATTTTCTAGGTCTGAGCTGGAGGCAAAATTGGAGAGGAGTGCGGCTAAATTAGAGGAGCTGCGAAATTTGGCGGAGAAGTACTCGGCCGAGGAAGTTGTATGTAACATATCGGAGCAACGGAACAGTTTGCTTGGGAACTGCCGGCAGTTGGTGACGGAGGTGATTGGAATTATATTTTATTACATTTATTATATATAACCAAAATATTCATACATGAAGTTTATGTCAATTTTTTAGGCGAGCCAAGAAGAAGCGAACCTCGATGGGTCCGTTTCTCCGAACGAGAGCGTTGTCGATGAAACCCGAGAAGAGGACCACAACGCGAACGCCGCTCTCCTTTTAGCTTCCTGAATAAATTAGTATATAAAAAGCGTTTTCAATTGTCGCGGTTTTGCCGTAAAGCCGAACGATGTATTAAGGGTCAATTGTCAGGGACGAATTACGAGGCCACGACGTAGTGGAGATGATTTTAAGGAAAACTCGAAAGCGCTCTAGACTGCATTTTACGCATCGCCGTATCGAAGTCTATACAAATGTGGTTGTCCTTTTCTTTTTTCCGTTAACTTATCGAGATGTAAAATAGCACGAAAAATCGTGCACCTAGGATGTACCGCTATACTTCCACGAGAATAATTGAAACTAACGATTAGATACTGTAATTGTGAGATTACGATCATTAGGCCAATGATGTTACTGTGAATTTTAGGAAAGTATTACTTAATTCTCATCTCGATGGAGAATGAATCATTTAAGTATTACGATTAGGCATGACTCCCCCTGTTCTAGAGTTAGCGATGTAACTATGCGGCGATGCGATTAGATTAACGATTAATTAAGAGGTTAATAAATCGTGTAAGTAAATTCCTAGGGAAGTCGTCGGGCGGACCTGTGAAAGGTATACCGTAATATCGAGACGTCGACTCGCGTTTTGCCGGTTTTGGAGGATTTAGTTTCGTTAAGAATGTATTTTTGTCATCGCTTTCACGCTACTTCGTGCTCTCGCGACTCCTCATTACCTTAGTTAGGCTCGATTAATTAATTAACCCGCGAGAGTCGCGTTTAAGGAAATCGAAGCTCTACGGGAGTGTTTTACTTTGTACTTTCAATGTTTCCTAAGGTGAGCGATCGCCGGTAGTACCGAGATTCATGTGCATTTCCTGTAAAGGAACTAACACAAAAAAGGAAAGAAAAGAAAATGAAGGAACGTTAGACAAGCGTTTCGACGACGCGCCGAAATTGCCGACTGCGGAGTCGATTATCCAGTTCTTATTTTGCATTTTTTATGTTGCCCTAGTCTCTTCAATAAATTGAATCAATGATGAGTGAGTTTGGTCGATCGAGGGTGAGTGCCCGAGGTGTTGCAAAAAAGTGCAGAAATCGGTGACAGCGTAATCGACCTCCGAGGATTCTTTTAATCCAGCCTTTGTTGCGGCGACTGATGACGGAACCGAATGACTAAGTTGAACGACGTGCGTTCGATCGAAAGAATCCGATTTTATCGCGATGCTGCCAGAAAATTAATCGTTGCCCTCCTTGCCACTTTAATAAGTAACAATAACACTAGTGTTAATAAAGAGTACCGGGCATGGAAATATAATTCGTCCCCGAGTCCCGAAGGACGAGAGAGTAATTGCTTCTGCGCTCAAAATATCTGTACGGGATTTTCTGCGATAGCCAAGTCCATTTTTCCTGGATTTAAATTGGCAGTGTTCTCTGTTTTTTATTTTTATTTTCCTTTCTCTCTCGAATTTGTACAAGTGCAGCCGTTGGCATAGTTTGCTGTAGAGTAACTTGGCTTTCGAAGTCACGCGATCAATTCCACCCAAGTCCAATTAAGCGGTATTGTACAGATAGAGAGGTATACCGTAGCCTTAAGCGTTTTTATACAAAATGATATTGTGATGAGACTACCAAAAACCTGGTGAATAATGTATTTTAATTTATAACCAAATAGATTTCGTTTCAGTAAAAGTGACGGCGATGGATCTGTAAATTCTCGCCGACCTATAGATTCGCGCCAGGGAGAAGAGAACAACTAAAATTAATAACAAATTCCTGTGTACGCTCGTGTTAACATTTATTTTCAATCGATATTTATAAAGAAGCACCCTGTTTAAATTACAGTATAAACACAGTCTAGGGAGTACGACTAAAAATGTTATTACATCCTATTGGCTATTCGCATATTCGTAATGAATATTTGTACCAGCGTGTGGAATATATCGTGTGCTGATAATCGCTCAATTCCGCCTCATATCACCGTGCTAATTGCTCCGTACTAATTAGCTAATTCTTGCTCGTATGCGATGCATAAAAACCACTTATCCCCTGGGAGATATCCGTGATAACATGCATATTCACGAGAACAGTTCTTGCTACATTGTGCGCTCTCTCGGCCTATATAACTTGCATTCAAACTTAAATTATGTCATTATGTCGTTACTACATATGAGCTTAGAAATTATATTTAAGATATCGAGAGGATTCCGGGAAATCTCATTGGCGAATGCGTCGTAAAATCGGAGCGATGAGGTTCGCCAGTCTCAAGCTGGGTCTGAAAGCAAACGAAAAGTACCATTACTCGTACGTAGATTTTCTGTGGTATCATTCTATCTCAAATATTCTGTACAATTAATTCACTTCGCATTTTAGCTCCTGCACAGAGGAGCGAATCCCGGACATCGCCAGGATTCAGGAGCTTACGAAGTCCCGATTAAAGACCACGTTTAAAAGTACATTCCTTTCGACATTTATTTCATAAAACGAGATTCATGAATTAACTTGTTAATTATTTTATAGCCTGGTGATTCACTGCCAAGCAGAGTCGTTTGGCGTTGGAGAACATTTTTAAAGGGAATGACCTTTGCAGGATATTCTTCTATGGAGGAGGATCGAAGAGAAATACCTGTAAGATTTGGGATCCGAGTGGCGCTTCGAATTGTCCTCGACTTCCGGCTTGGGCTTGGTGGGACCAGGACTTCCGGGCTTCGAGTTCTCCAGCAGTCCATCCTGACCCAGAGCAGCTAAGTTTGGTTCCGTGCTGGCTCCGGGAATACCTCCAGCCAGAAGAAGAGCCTCCACAGGAGCGACGACCAGGACGAGCCCATCGACGTGAATCCGGTAATTCTCGGTGCCATTTTGCCTCTGATCATAGTGATCTCCCAAGGGCGCCGATGTGGTTGGCTTCGAAGACTGTTCTCCGACCTCCAGAGGAAGTCCACTGACGACTCCCTCGTAGAGGACCAGGAACACGGTCACTGTCTTGAATATTCTCGTATTGATCGCCGTCATTTTACCTAATTTTCAGCTGGACCGTTGCCGAAGAAATCGGAAGAGCCGTTCTGATGATCCTGGGGCAGTCCTGGACGTCTTGGTAATGCGAAAGGCCGCCGAGGTGTGACGTTTCCCTTGGTCGAGAACTAGCGATCCCCTCCTGTCTAGAGACTCGTCCAAGGTCAAGGACCTCTTCGTCTTCCAGCTGGAAGGTCTTTGCCATCGCAGGCGAGCCGATGGGCACACATGATCAAAGTCAACCAAGTCGTATCTTTTGCTTTTATATAGCGGTTCCTTTACCGTTAATTGCCAGTAAGTGGCGCTTTCTTCCGGGTAGAGGAATTTAAGGTGATACGAAAGGGTCATTCTATATATAACAGGTGAAAATATTTATAAAACTTTTCTCCAAACTGAATGCACCGAATAATTTTAAACGTTAATACGTGATTACGGAGGTCCTAAGGAAAAACCCGATGCTCGTGAAATTTCATTTTTCAATAAACCTTCACGCCATTCCATAATCACGCGCTCAAGTTCCAAATTATTCGGTGCAGTTTGGAGAAATGTTTTATAAATATTTTGGCGTTATATGTATATGGAGAATCACCTTAAGGTAGTAGAAAAGTCTTCTGTCATGCTGACGAGCGACAGGGGGTATTCATTCAATTTTCTCATATCTTTATGTATATTTTCGCCTTTTCCCGCATAATCTTGATGCGTTTCTTCTCTCATTTTGCATATCTAACTGTTCTTTTCTTTTTCAGACATTGTTCTCGATTCTTCCTCACCCTGAACAGGACTCCCATGGTTGGAAGAGGAATTTCGCTCGCATAATGCAGTCACCTCTCGTCGTGAGAAGCCGAGGCTGAAGAGCCGTGACGAAACGACACAAGAAGAGAGAAGGAATCTATTTCTAAAAGAGCAATGCCCCGTCGTAATCTTTGTTTTGCCACCAAACCAGCGCCAAAGAATCGCCTTTATCTTGATCTTCATGTTGTTTTTGTTCCCCTCGCAGAAAGAGACCCAGTTAATAATTTCATAAAAAGTTAACTATCTCAGCCAGGATTACATGGGTCTCCTCTGAACCAAGCTCTTCTCGTTCATCTTGCATTAATCAAGAGGAAACTGTTCATGCAAACTGATGTGACATGTATATGAACCTATTTAACAAGAAAAGTTAATATTCATTCCACTTATTTTTTTTATACCGTAGGACAATACGATCTTGCTGAATGAAACAGAGAATGAAAAGAGAAGAAATACATTGATGACGAGTAACGACGATCAGGAGGTAAATGACAATTTTTTATCTTGATCTTCACCTCGGCACTCTTTTAGTAATTGCATGTTTATAATTTTGTCAAATTCGTATGGATTTCCTTCACGGAATTGTATTGTTTTAATTTACTCCATCAATGCTGTACGTGCAATGACCTCGAACAAGTATGTTTATGCACGCTTATGAAAGTCTGTAAACTGATATTAAAAAGAAGAAAAATTGACGTTTAATTTATTTCAGTCCATAAAATGTCGTGTTGCGACCAGGTTAAACGAGAGGAGCGAAGGAATTTATTTGTTGGGGATCAATGACCATCGATGACCTCATCCAGCAGTTCTCCGATCGAGCTGGAAAACCTTGATCTTGATCTTGCGTTTCCACCTGGGACTTAAGAAGAAAGTAACTCGAGAGCAAGAGGTACTCAGACGGTGAAAGGCGAGGTCGACCAGGATTATACAGTCGGACTCCTTTTCTAGGTTTTCCTCGTCGGTGTAATACCTGTAATGATCTTACGCAACCGGTCGTAACAGTTTTACCGTCTCGAGACTTACTCTTTGCTTCCAGGTCTTCTGAATTCACGAAAATGATAAAAATACGAATACCTACCATGTACTTGTAATACTTAAGTATAATATCTCCAGTTTACTAAGTGAATTATTTTTCTGGTGTATAGGGGAGGACGCTAGGCTGAGTTCCTTTTACATAGTTTTAATTATTTATTATTCGATGTGTTGTATAATATAATTACGCAGCTTTGAATTAGACGTGTGATTTTAATAAACGAATCTTAGGTACGTGTACACGTATAGGGGAATCGATTCGAGAACAGGGAATTGTATATTTCCTTGTTATTAACGTGATATTGTATGACATGACCTTATTATTATAACATTCATTTTTTATAAATCTTACTAATGCAGTTACGTGGTGCATATACCGCTTTTATTTTATAGAAAAATGGTATCAAGAGGCAGTACACCAGACGATTGGACGGAATTTTGTTCCTTCGGGGGAAAACCAGGAAATGTCTTAAATTGTACTCCACTCGTGAAATGTTATGTATCACTTCTTATCACCTTGTATACCTTAACTAATTGTCTTAATATATTCTGTATTAATTTAAGGTACTTTTATTTTAGAGTCAATCGAGGGACTTCCGGCAGACCCCCAATCTGTCTCTGAACCTTCCAGGACCACAATTCTCGATGGAGCCTCCGAGAAGTTTCAGTTCATGAGGTTTATGAACAGCCAGGTCGACCTCGTTCCTTTCCCTGGACCTGGACAAGTATCCGGACAAATCCTGGTCCTTCATCCTGGCGAATACCTTCTTCAAGGATACCTTGCCCCTGGGGTCGACGATCTCGTCGATCTCGCTCCAGACTCTTCTGATCTTCCGAATTTTTGGCGAAGCGTCATCTTGAAGATTACTCAAAGATGTCTCTTCCTGCTTTTTGAGCCCTTCTTTTGCAGTCTCTTTCAGATCGGATGATTGGAGATCTTTGGTTTGATCTTCAATTTCACCTTCTGACTCCTTGGCGAGGTTTTGGGGCTGATCTTTGCTGGCGTCATCCTGGACATCCGATTTTACGGCAGACTGGATATCCAAAGTGCCAATTGCAGCATTCTGTAAATCGGAAATAACGTTTTATACAATTTTCCAGCGAAATGTAGAATTACGACGAAGCGTTCCCCTTTCTTGACTCCGTGTCACGCTTTACGGAAAGTCATGCAATTTTGAAAGAGAATCTCGTATCACTTTCCAAGATCCACGCCATTACCATTTCATGAAGAGAAATTAGTCACGTGGACGAAAACGGCGCCCTTTTTCAAGGAAATAAATTGAGAAAGCTTGAGATTCTCCACGAAATTGAAAATTATCGGTATCAGGCACATTTTCTATAAACTAATTTTGCAACATCTCCATTTTTTACAGCGGACTTAATCTCCAATCCAAAGTTTTACCAGCGCCCGAGTTTTCTTCACTTCAGCATCCGACATTCCGACCACCTTTGGACCAGATTCTTCCTTAATCTCCTCCTGAGGTAAGTTTTTGTCCCCAGCATCTTTTTCAATCTTAACGACGTCGGTCCCGGAAGGGTCCTTGCTCCTTTCTAGAGGAACGTCCGCAGACTTCAGCTCCACTTTGAGAGAATCTTCCTTCGAGTTGAGACTCTTCAGCTCGAACACTTGACCTGCCAGGTCGTTCAGCAGGTCGAAATTTCCGTTTTCACCGGAAGGAGTCGCCACGACTATGAGGAAGTTCTCCAGTTTTGCGTTCAGATTTAATTTCCCGTCCTGACGTTGGTCGTAGGTCGCAGGTGCTCCCAGAATTGGTATCACCGTTGCGGAAATTAACGTAATCAGGAGACCGATCATTTTGCGAGGCCCGAATTCCGTTCTTGCCTGGTCCCTGCGATGTCTGATACGCGACTGAGGATTTCTGATCGCTGATAGGGCCTGAGGGGCCTGCTGGGACCGACGCTCGACTTATCCCGGTGAGAGGAGAGGGTAAGGATGAGCCACGAGTCGATGGAAAACTGTCTGGTTGTAATTAGTATGAGTTTTCGTTCCAGAGTCGTTTAGTGGGATCGGGTTCGAGCCAGCCGGTATTCTGCAACAAACACAATGAAGCAGTCTGCTTCTCCACCCTGATAATAAATAGTAATATGTATTACCACTGTAGTTGTAAAATAAACGCCAGACTCTACGAGTGGTATAATATACAGCTAAAGAAAGAAAGATTGATTTTACAAATTGTAATCCGTTTTTCTTCGGTTGTATTTCCTCTTTCTATACTCGTAGGAACTGGCGCCTGTTTCACAATTACATTTTTTTTCTCAGGGTAGAACCACTAAAACGATTAAGCAGGTTATAATAAAATGGGTAGATTCCTTTCTTCTTCTCTTGTATTTTAAGTATTGACTTTTCAACGGTAAATCGTGAAATCAATTACAGAAGAGGCATATTTTGATGGTCAGTAATTTGGCAAGATGGAGGTGAAGCGTGTAGGTATAATCGAAATTAATATCACAGCCGTATGATTATACAAATGAAAGGAATCTCCATTACAAGTGGTAATCGTCTTTATTAAGATACATTTCCTGGTGAATTATTTAGCCCGATGTTTTCCGTAGAGCAGGGTTATCGCACTTACTTTAATTCTAATTACGGTACTTCCTATCTCTAAGCTACGCAAGGAGATTAGAATTTTTTACACTTGCACTATATTACTTATAGCATGGAAATCTCAATACTCGTAATATTGCACTCTCGTCACGTTCACTATTATAGCTGTACTGACTAAACTTAGGGAATAAGAGTAAATCGTATTCTGATAAAAATTCATACAATCGAAATGACGGAAATTGTGCTCTCGTATAACAAAACGCGCCGCTGGATTATTGCTGATATAATTCATTACTAATGTTAAGTGTAAGGAAGATTTCGCTTTTTATGCACTGGCGGGTCTTCTGCTGCCATGCTTGTAGGTTTGGGAAAATATCGGTGCCAGTTTCATGAGCCTGAAATATTCAGAAAAGTTATTCAAGGTCCAGCTAAAAATTGGATGCACAAAAGATAATAAGGGGTTCTTTTCGGTGTTTCGACTCACGGCAAAAGAGTTATCGGTCGGCGAAGTTGTAGGCGACAGCGGCCGTTCTTGTCCGGAGAATATCCTGGTCTGCAACGTTTTTTAGGAAATTCCGTGGACGATAATCCCGAGCTGGTATCCTGGCTCGCTTTCACGACCGTCTCGGGGACCACTCCGAATCCGTTCTGGCTCTTGAAATCCGAATTCGCCTCTGTAGTGGTTTTCGGCAAACTCTGATCCTGGCTTATATTCATGATCATCTTCAAGACCTCTCCGAATCCGCTTTGGTTCTCGAAATCTAAATTCGCCTCTGTGGTGGTCTTCGACAAAACATGATCTCGACTCGTATTTATGAACATATTGAGAAACTCTTGAAATGTGTTTTGGCTCTTGGAATCCGAATTCACGTCTGTGGTGCTCTTCAACACCGAGCGATCCTCATCGCTATCCATTGGTTTAGAGGTAGAATAATTATTTGGGTACGAGGTTGAACTTAACTGTTCAGGTATTTTTGTAGCGGAAAAAGATGTCTCGGTCTTCTTATTTATAGCGATGTCCTTGCCCTGCAACATAATTTTTAACGTTATCCTGGACTTTCATTTGGTTTCTATACATTCTCTATTTTTAAGGATAAGCGTACAGCGATTTAATTTAAAATAACGTATCTAATTGCGGGAAAAAAATGATTTTTGCGAGTATCTGAATAATTTCTGTTTCCGAAGGAAGATCCAATTCTTTATTTCGGGAAACTCGAATTACCTCTGTCGTGGCCTCTAAATTCATGACCGAGCCCGAAGATGTCGCGGGTGGTACATTTTCAGACTCCAGAGCTGCATTTAATGTTTTCTGAGTTCCAGCAATGTTTTCGTTTATCTCTAAATTTACAAATTGGCCCGAAGACGAGGAGGAGGCATTTTCTGTCCCCAGGGTCGCATCTACGTGTCCTCCAGTTTCGGTAATATTTTCCTTTGTTCCAAAATTCTCAAGGTATGCAAATATGGAGGATGAGACATCTTGAGACTGAAGAGTTGAATTTAATTTTTCCGGAGTCTCTGTGACGTTCTCCTTTGCTGCATCAGCTGGAATTGAAGGGAGACTTTCCTTCGTAGTCTCGACATTCGACTCCTCAGTGACATTATTTGAGATAATGGATTCATCAGTTTTTTCGGTGGTAGTCGAAGATGGTGGATAGGTAGGCCAGGTGCTCCAGGGTTCAATGGAACTCGTCGAAGGGGTAGGCTTCGTCGATGAAGGTTTTCCTGGCTTTACCGTGAAATCCGCGTAATCGTAAAAGTAGTCATAATCCTGTAACACGAAAAGAAAGAAAAGAAACAATTCACGATTAGATTACATTTCTAACAGCCAACAATTATAGGAAAAGTTGAAAAGGAAGCGGTATTTAAAGCTACAAGTAATTTCGGAAATTAAACAATCCTTTTGAAATATAATCTCCAATCGATTTCGTTTTAAATTTAAATTTTAAAAGGAAAGTCCTGAGATCTATGACATTGAAATGTAAAAAAAAATCCATTCGCACGTATTTTAAAAATTGTATGTAAAAAAATGAAATTCCACGAGTTTCAGATCCTTCCTTATGGTCTTCGTGTTCACGTTATTAAGTTTGAAACGGTTCGGTATACCCAGTTCAGAAAAAAATGTCACGAAAGATCGACCCCTCAAATGCCACTTTCATATCGCCTTAAATCGCACGATAAGTATTTGCCAAATAAACCGTTAAATTCATTTATGTAGCAAAGATTCATTTAAGGAAGATATTAATTTTGAAGGGAGGATCACCGTGTAGTCCCCCAGGAGTTCGGAGTCGACGAGGGCAACGATCTGCACGTCCTTAAGGTGGACCTGGACGTTGACGTCTCCGTGTTGGCGCTGGTCGTAGTTCGCGCCTTTATCCGCGATGGCGCCTGCAGCGTGACCCGCGAGGATAATGAACCCGAGCTTCAGGAAGACGCTGGTCGCTTCCGGCATTAAGCCGCTCGTTCACCCGGGGACCCGGGTAAAAATCCTGGGGAGCGTAAAACGGAGCCACGCGAGGCTACCACGGGTCCAGGAACGCCGAGATAACTGGACAAGAGGAGCGGCACGAACGCGAGGTTGCCTCCCCGGTATTCCCCTGTTTTACGCGACTCCACTTCAGGTGTATTCCGTATTGAGGGAACCGGTTAAACGAGACGATGCTCCTTCGGAAGAGCGGAGACGAGGGAGGGACTCTTGGCCGGCCGTTGCCCCTGTACGGGTCCGAGCGTCTCCGAAGACCTGCCCCCACAAGGAGGCGAGGATGATCATTTGATTTTATTTCTACTGGAGGCCACGGCCTGAGGCGAAGAAAAATTCTTCATTTATTCATTGCAGGCTTTCTTATTGTAATTTTTTTTTCTCCAATTTCATCGTTACTTCTTTACTTGACCGTTATCTCGATAGTTTTGGGCGCTTCCGAAGACCTGCCCCCACAAGGAGGCGAGGATGAACATTTGGGTTTATTCTTACTGGAGATCATGTCTTGACGCAGGGAAAAATCCTTATTGTTCAATGTAGATTTTTATTGTAATGTTTACTTTCAATTCAGTGTCACCTGGACATCGAATCCGTAAATTAATAACAATATATTGACAAAAATGTAAAAAAATGAGGTACCGAGATTGAACCTTCGCCTCTATTTCTATTATGGGTAGCAGAGCTTAATAATTCAAATATCACTATTTTGTGACTGCATTAATTTACTACGAATTTGTTTACTGTATTATTTCTTTTCCTCTATATTCATTTAACTGTTTATCATCCACATGTTCTCTTAGCTTAAGGTTTCTTTCTTATTTTATATTTAAATATTGGCGCCATAGTGACGCGATCGTTCATTGGCGGTTTTACTTAACGAGTTCATGGCTACCAGGATCCCTCGCAACAGACGCCAATGGACAACGAAAGGTTACTCATTTTTTGCGTATTATAAATGTCAGCAAAGTAACGTTGCCAACAATCCATTCACAGTACTGAATATCACTTATTGATAAAGCAATTTTTAAAATAATTAATTATGTTTTATACATGTATGAGTTTTTTTTTTAACGAAAAATAAGATCGCTTATTCTAAGGCGTATTCAAAATCTGGCGCCATTGAAATTGAGTCCATTATTGGTTAGACAGCATTTTGGGTTCGTCGTAATTTGAGTCCCCCGTCATTTACGCCAATGGACTTAAATGTTACATGTCAGTGTCTTATGGATGTTTAATTTGGAGAAGCGTGGGAAATACCTGGAGACATTCGTCGGTTGAAAGTTCATAAGAATCAAGTGATGCCCACTCGAGTTGAGGTTATTTAGTTGTTTGGACTTTTGAGGAAACGAATATTTTCCGCGTCCCGATACTATATCGCGTTATTTACCATGTTGCGAGCTGTCACAAAGGATGCTCCAATTCTTTAAGAAATCTGGTAATTTTTGTCATTTTTATTATTTTCTAGTACGAGAGTTTGAGAAAAATGTTGCGAAATATTACATTATCACAGTGAGCGGTAAACATAACCTATGTCGAAGAACATTGTCTTTGTATGAGTAAGATTTATGCATTTTTGGTTATATGATAATACACGAATACACTTCTTCACTGTGGAATGTAAACGTGTTATGCAAGTATTGTTATCATCTTTGAATTGTAAGATATGATTGATTTTATGAAGAGTGAACGCTTTGTGACGAATATGAACTTAAAGTATCTTGCAGGATTCAAATGGCACGTCACTTCATTCAGTTTATGTAGGGATTATAGTTAAGAAAACGCTTGTTTAATGACGATGTTTGCTTAGTATTACATTTCTTTGCAATGTACTATCTGATTAACTTGTTTGTGTTAGTGTTTGTATTACTCAATGTGCTTTTAGGGCAAAGAGATAAGTCCAGATCATTGCATAGCTCTCCTGCAAAGTCTACAGACTTAGGAAAATCAGGAAGCAATGCGTTCATCAACAGTGCTGGAGCATACGTTCAAGGAGGGTTACCGTTTACTCTCGAAGAAGACGAGGACGATGGACCGTGCAATAGTCGCACGAAAGCGGAGATATTGTCCTTTCATTCACGGCTGTCAAAATCGCTACCTGAAATTCTCGCAGACAAAGGAGCTCTCGGTTACTTTATACAATTCATGGAGACACGAGGCTGCTTAGCACTCATCAAATTTTGGTTGGAGGTTGAGTGTCTCCGCAGTGCATGTGAAGTATCCGTAGGAGTGGACAACAAATGTCTGCATGGAATCAGAAACCATGTTGGACAGTATAGCAGTTTAGTGAGCTTAGCCGATGATAACGACAACTCGAGTTTCACTATAGAGTTAGGCAATACAGAAAACCACGACAATGATTTCCTATCTTGGAAAACGAATGTAAATAGCAACAATGTAAAATCAAATTGCAACAACATGCCAAAGACTAGTCAATCTATAAAGAAATCGAATAATACTTTTGAAGATAAGAGACACCAAGTGTCGACGACTTTGCAAGATGCGTTACGAATTTATAAGAAATATATTACGAAGAATACCCTGGGGCTGCAGAATATTTCTGATGAATTGCAAATGGAGATGAAAGAAGCTCTGGCTTGTGAAAATTCAGAACTTGTACTCAAATGTCTGTCCGATGCTCAAAAAGTAGCATACAAGATGCTTGAAGACGAGTAAGTATATATATTGACTTGACTATACATAAAGACTCTTCTTATTTCACAAATCACGTCTAACATGATTCATTTTGCCTCTCAGGCATATCAACGATTTTCTGAGGAGTGATTTTCATTGCAAGCATCAAATCGATGTTCTGACCAGTGGCAATGTACAGTTAACCGATATATTATACAATGAAACTGCATTCTTCTATTTTATAGAAGTAAGATTATGTACAGATGAAATCCAATTTAGTTTCATTTTTTCTATCATCTGTTATTAACATGTTTACAATGTTCCAGTTTATGGAACTTGAGAACAAACGAGAGTTGTTGGATTTTTGGATGTCAGCTGTGAATTATAAACAAAATCTCATGGAAAAAGGAGAGGCTGGCGATCCAATGGAGGCCCAGACGGATGCTCTCATCATTTACGATAAGTAAATATACAATATATATTTTTCCTGATGACATTTAATGTATTTTCTTACTTAAATCAACATTTTTATTATAATTTCACGAAGTAAGTAAATTTTATTTCAGGTATTTCAGTCTACAAGCGACAATGCCGCTAGGATTCTCTGACAAAATACGATTTGAAGTGGAGCAGAATATTTGTAGAGAAGGTGGTCAGGGACCGCAGCCCGATTGTTTTGATAGACCTTGTAAAATTGTATATAACTTCCTCAATAAGGTAATATATAAATATTTTGTATATCATTAAGAAATTTTAATCCCAAGGTAAATTTCTTTGTCTACATATTGGTTTCTTTCAGCATTACTTGTCTGCCTTCTTATCATCTCAGCTGTATTATAAATACCTTTCGGAGCTGATTAGCACCATTCAAAGTAGCTCGTGCCCAGGCTTGCACCCCCGGATAAGAAGAGCAGGTAAGCATTGCAATATAGTCGTGTGATTACGTTATCATTGCATCTGCTGGGTGGTAATATCGCATTGTAACTCTAGGCTCTGACTGCAGCAGCGAAGTCAGCACAGTGAGCGTTAACACGCAAAACGCTCATCAAGTAGCAAGAGAAAGAAATAAATCGTCCAGTAACGACTCGACAGTTAACGGGAATATGAACATCGACACCAGACAACTTTATGATCCGGATTCTTTGTGGCGACGACATAAGTATAGGTACTTACTAATTATTTGTTATAACGATTGAATAACTTAAGTCCTTTTTCGATGGAATTTTAAATGTACACATTACAGAATATGGTTTCTTTCAAATTGATTGTTTCCATAACCAATTGTTATATGACATGATCAATGATTTGGATTAATTTTTCATATCCATGGAATTGGTAATTATACGTTTTTTTTTTTTATAGTTTAAGCGTGGGATATGTCGACTGCATGGGGAGATTTGTGACGGAAATAGAGCCAGACCCTCACAGGAAATATGGTAAGCTGTCAACTAACTTTTTAGAGCTTACAGGTTGTTAAGTACACACTCATTGCTCTATATCATCAATTTCAGAATCTCGACTATCCCGCGCTGTTAAGAGGCTTGTTCACATGGAGCCCGATAAGGTAAAAATCAGTTTTAAGTATACATTATTAGAAAAAAACTATATCATTTATTAAATATTATCTATTCCGTTGAATTTGATAAATGATCAAATATAATGAGACATTATTTTGTATCGAAACAGGCCAAGGAAGAATTAGCGTGGAAGATAGCTGAGATGATCGTCCGTGAGATCACGACTTTGACTTTGGGAGCCTCGGAGCTTTCTTCCTGATAACGTAACTTCTCACATACGTGGGTATGATTAATTAAAGATATATATATATATTTTTTTATAGTCACTCTCAAACCTATGAGATATTCGATATAAGACGTAGCGCGTTTTCAACTAACGACAGCGCCGGGTGATAAGATCTTTTCGGGGATCGATCATCCGGCTAGTAAAGTTTCCACCTTAGTTTTAATTTGCCTTTTATCATTTATGAACCTCGGTTCATTCATGCGCGCTGCAAAGATCAGTTCCTTCGAGAGCATAATATTTGCAAAATGCAGTTTACTTGTAACGTTAAATCACGGATGTTTACCAAAGTGCCAACCATTGAAATGAAACACTGTCAAATCAAATGTTTAGTTTGCTTGATGGTGCTCAAGCTTCGGGGCACAAAGCTTATGGTAAAACCTGAAACTGTTTTGTTCGATACGTTTGTGTATTTTCATTATTGTCTTGATATATGCATGCTTAACGATGCTTAAAGAGGCGGTCGTGCACAAATTCATGACAAGGAGCTTTAAACTTTTTAAGGGAACGTAATTAGAGGAAGAGAAAACTGCTGTGATTCTGATGTTTTTTATAAAGTCTTCCTACTTGAAAAGGGTCACTTTCATACATTAACGATTGCTCCTTGCAACTTGATCGTATTTCTAATCGCTTTTGGTAAATCGTTTTACTTAAGTGAGATTATTTAAAGTATTTCAATTCATTTTTTAAGAGTTTATAGAGGGGGTTCCTCATTTCTGGAATGCTTCATGCGATAAATTATACTAATGAATATTTCTTTTGTTACCGAATAACGCGTACAGGCGGAAGTGCCTAGCTTGATTTTAACGATATTAGTTTGCAGTATATTAATATGTATGATTTTCTCTCTAAAATATTTGCTCTCTTAAGTTGTCGACTGATTGCTGATTGGGTCAAGTCTGAGTATGGATTGTAAATTTTATGGTGAATCAATGAAAATTTTGTTAAGTTGCGCACAGAAAATATTATATAGAAGTCCCTTAGAATTTGGACTTTGAAATTTTATATATCAAAGTGTTCAATAACACCCAGGAGTATATTTTCAGTGCCATAATTAAAAAAAATAACTTTTTAAATAGAATTTATTGCAGATGACATATTTGAATTAAAATAAAATATTCATTTGATTATTTAAAGTTCGATTCTTTTAGACCTAATAAATTGTAATTCTTATGTTAATCTTAAATAATGAATGGACTTGATACTAAGAAATGCTCAGCTGACCAGTCGTTTCACAGTTTGTTGAAAAATGCTTAAATGATGGTGCTTGTATCGATGATTTTGTTTGAGAGTTTCGCATCTTCTCACGCTGTTCATGAGCAAAATACTCAAATATTGATCTTTTCTTTTTTCTCTTTTTTTGCGTGAGATCGTCATCATCGTCGAAGTTTTCTTCCTCGTAGATTCTATGACTTTGATTTCTGTACGCGCATTTGTTACTTGCATACGTTATTTTGTTATATATGATCTAGTACTGTATCCATATAACGCGTTTCCAAGTACATATATTCTTGTATAATGCACGATAATTGATGATGTGCAATCGAGGCCTATTTATGTCTCTAAAGGTCATCTGGTATGTACATGTATCGACTTTTGTACTAATTTACGTATAATAGAGTTGTTGTGCGCTTTTTGGAGAGGTACATTTCTTTTATAGTAATTATTATACGTAATCGGAACGAATATTAAAGATTAAGCTCGAACGTCGTACGGTAAGCACTTTATATAAAATGCGAAGTGTTCACTTCGCAATCAGCATGTGAAAAAAAATTCTAACTCTCATTTAGGAAATTTCGGATAACGATCTTCCATTTAAAAAAGCCACGCCATATCCAATTAACAATTTCTTTGGGTGCAACAACTCCATTATTATATAGCGGATAGACATTGTATGTACAGGAGGTTACCGGTGAGCGAGTCATACGCTGTACAAGAGGGAAGGATATTTTACAAAGAGTATTTTTTAAGGAATAGGTGAACTTCCTTAAGGTGCTAATTAGACAGCATAGTCACAAGTAAACGACGGAGGATAATGAAACGCAAGTTGTGCGGGGGACAACGAGAAAGAATTGTGTACAACAAGCGTATGTAAGAATGTGCGTTTAACGGTTGGTATATATACTTGTAAAAAATGCATATTAATTGGAACAATACATAGTGTACATATTTGTATAAGATATTCCCCATTAAGAGCGGAAAATAATAAAAAAGTGTACCTGTATCCGAGATATATTTATAATTTAACAGATCGTAGCAGTGCTTATATATATAAATACAGCAGTTACTTCTAGGCACCGGTATAAAAATGTATCAAATATTTGAAACACTACGTTCTGTTTCAGTCTGTCTGACGTAATTACGTAAAATGCACTCGTAACGTTTGAACGGTTTCCTCTTAGATTCGCACTTGTTTATGTGCGATTATTAATGCTTTTAGGTATAGAATACATTATGTTTCCTTCGGTTGTACTACGTAGGCCACAAGGCGATAATCCTATTTAACGAGATATGACTTTTAGAATGTTTCGATGTTAGTAAAAACTGTCAATTTGTACAATTACAAACTTCTAATAACAGTTATAATGTTGAAGCACTTTGGATGAATTACGTATTTATGTTTGTTAATTTATGATTGTCGCTTTTTTAATTATGTAACGATTCAACGCGAAACGTTCTACTATAATTGTCATGTGTTCTGTTGTATGAATTTTCAGTTTCTTTTTTTCTTTTTAAGTACAATTACATCTAATATCACAGAATTATAGGGATGACGAACCATTTATACTCGCATGTGGTGTACACCTGTATTGCGGAATTAACAATGGAGATGTTTCTGACATGTCTACGTTTGTTGAATTCTTTTTGAAACTTGCTCCTAGTTTGGCGAGGCCTTGGCAGCATTCCAGTCGAAATTTCTCTCTTCGTCCCCATCTTTGATATACCAAAGCATTGAAGAATGCTTGAAGAGGATTTGTAACAGCCTGCGATCAAAAATTTGTTGTAGAATATCGAATGATATATTTTGATGCTGGTGAGAACGAAATATTTTGTTTAATTTTAGTAATAATCGTTTGACTATTTCTAGGATTAGTGAGCTTACCATAATGTACCACACAGAAATGATGACTTTAATTGGCAGTTGGAACCACAAGGTCCACAAGAGAATTCCATTAACTATGTTTGGCACCCAACAAATATAATAGACTAGGTTGGTCAATGCGAATTTCAATCTAATGGCTTGCACTAGCTTTCGTTCCCGTCCTGTCATTTGTGCCATGCTACATGTTACTGCCGTCTTTAAATCACGAGTCGATGCTATGTACAATGCTGGATTGGCAATCATGACTACTGCCAGTAATACATATGTGATACAGTAATTAGGTAGAATGCGTAGCAAAGCACTTGACAGGGACAAAGAGTTATGACAGCTAAAAAATTAAGTTTATATTTAGCGGTTTTGAGGTACCTAAGTTAAAAGAAAGAAAGTAAAATTGATAAATAAGCTTACTTGGCATCGGGGAGATACAAGATTGTCAGTCCAAATGTTGTGAGAATGGCAGGGCATATCCAAGCTAATGCATGATAGCAAGAAGGATGTCCCTCTCGCTCGCCTAGTAATAGTTTCATGTCAATCGCATAGCACATCGTCCAGATCCAAGTGGCCATGTAAAAATATTGAGTCCAAGCCTGAAAACTACATTCTTTCACATAGATATATCATTCACCCCTAGTAAAAACTGAACCTGAGATTTTAATACTCCTAATCTGTTTTCCCTTTTTTATCCCAAGAGATTCGAGACCTCTTACCGAAGACAGGGCACAGAAGACAACGCTGGATGTGTCATCCTCCATCGGCATGATATTCTTATAACTCATCCATAGTGCAGACCGCACGAACACACCTGTGGATCGTTAAATCGTAAGGACTATATCTAAACCACTTGTCTTCTTAATCCTACCCAACTGAGATGGTAGTACATAATAAGATTAACGTATACATTCTTTTTGAATGCATAAAGGAGCACACCTAAGGATGCGAAGAAATCAGCAATGGCAAGCCAGACTATGATTTCTCTACCCCTTGATGATGAAAATCCCTGCCAACGGTGTAAGGATTTGGACTCTTCTCTTGGCAGCACCTATGGGAACGTAGTTCAATGTTTTTATGTTAACGCATAGTAATAATGAACGTAGTAGGATCAGTGAAAGCATGGGATTTACCTGGTAAACTGCTCCGAGTATGCCCATTGTCGATGACAACATACACACAGAGTTATAGACATCGGTGTTGAACTCTTGCATTATTACTACTGCCATGTCAGTGTTATTTCTATTATGGTGACAACAGAACGTCTGTATCGTGGGGTCCGCCATGACTAGCAAGTGCCGGTGTAAGGTGAGATGATGCTACGGAGTTTTGATAAAAAAACGATAAAACCGATAACGGGAGTCGCGTTATCACTAGACTTTTTCCCACAAGAGGTGCATCGAGCGTTGCCGACTTACCGTTCTCTATGATGCGACTTCGCTGCGTCTCTTTAACTTGCATAAATTATGGCGATAATGGCGAGATTGCCGGGGATATGGCGTGCCCACGTATGTTCATTTATTTTTTCAATTTGAAGCCGTACGACGTCTTGCCGGGGATTCATTTGTACCCATATCGCGGGTGTAGCGTCGCAGATAAAACAGACCGCTCGATAAAGCAGCGCCATAGTTATTTTATGGGTAAAACAGAGGGATGATCGCGTGGTTGATGACAGAGATGATTTGGGAGATTGCTCACGAGCAGGGTCGCGCGGTCGCATCCTGTACTGCCCTCTAATTTCTTACATTAGCTTTCATTGTTTTTTGCCCACAAGGACGGCGCAATGAATTTCTGGTAGGGGCTCGAGCACTCGCGATGGCGGTGTCATCTACCAGTCGCCGTTGGCGGTTCACGTACTCGTGATAGTAATACCATGCGGCTGTTGACAGTGATGGCTTACCTACGCTTACCGACACTGCTCGCTTTTGATGGTAAGGGAAGATGGTAACGTACGAAACCAGAGGGCAGCACGCGACCCTGCCCGTGAGCAACCTCCCAACTCATCTCTGGTTGATGAATCGGGTATTACCTCTCGTTCATGTTTTACAACCGTTTATTACATACTAATACTACTAATACTACATTTACTTTTATTTCTCGTCACATTTAAGATGTCATCACACGCAGAGGGTACAATGTCTCGGATATTTTTCGAATGTCTGTTAGATTTCTCTGTTAATCTTTTCCTGGACCCTTGGAATGTAGTGCTCGGATAAGAGATTTCCAAATCTTAGGCATCGTGGTCATTCTGAAACATATAAACATAATATTATTTTTAAATAGAATCTCTGTTAAGAAGTGAACCAATTATGTAACTGTCATTTCGTGAAGTCTGAAATTGTACCCTACTCATTTGGAATTTTATTCTGTGATTCAGTTATAGGAGTGGTTAAAATATCCTTCCTAAAATATCCTTTTCCCTGGTATGTGGAATTAAGAGACACGCAATGATTGATACTGCATTATTTATTTCCGGGAATTTAGGCTTTTTGTACCTTGGGAAGTGTGAGACAGTTTGTAACTTGTGTCGTTATCAATTGATAACAGGTTTGCAAATTCCTTTGCTGTCTGGTCGTTTGCCAGGCGGACACTTTATATTCCTCCCTCCGCGGCGGGGAACTGAGATGATATTTCTCCATGAGATTTCCGGCACCTTTTCGACCGGAATCACTTCGCTTTCGCCGCCATTTTGGTCACCACTTTGCTCCTCCATCGCCGTGCGATACTCAAGCTTCTTCATATCGTTTCTTTCGATGATGTTATTATCGTTAAAATCGTCTCCGTACGCGTACTCGATCCTCTTGTCCCCTCTTTTACCGTTCAGCGTGTAAATCCGATAGTCGTCGCTGTCTTGGAAGGCCCAATCGGAGTTCATTGGCGCTTCCTCAACTTCCGGTTTACTTCTGAGGATCACTAGCGATTCCCTTCGCGCAAACGGGGAATTATGTGAATTGTATGAATTCCGACGGAATACGTTGTACCGCGAAAATTCCCCGGAATATCGGGACTCGGGATCTAGCAGATTTTCCCTCGGGTGGTTGGGCATTATGAAGGAGAACGCGAAACTTGGAAGTACAAGGAAGATCGATCGACGGAGCGCCGCCATATTGGAAAAGAGGGACGCGCACACGGAAATGGAGACGTTGAAGGACCCAAGTTCGTTTGACTTTGATCACGGGCCTGGCGAACAATTTATTCGGCACTTCGATGTTCGGACAAACCGCATTGTCGGTCTTTAATCGCGGCTTCCCGCTTCCGCGGGAACTTGTGACTCCGAATTCGAAGTGGACTGTGGTGGCCGTGACAGTTCTGCTTCGCAGATTAACGAGCCGAGAGGTAAACGAATCATTTAGTCGACGTAATTTTAATCTCTGCTCTCCTTGAGGAAAACTACTCGACCTTGCGGTGATTATTTTATCGTTTCAGACTGTGAGCTTCGGCCAGGATATGCGCGTCCGTTGGTTAGTCGTTTGCGTTTAGGAGAAAAATCGTTGCAGGGCGACGCCATCTTGGAAATTCCCGGAGCGACAGTTTCCTCTCCCGAAGAATAAAATTCTGTCAAGCGTTTGAACTCTGGTAGGATGCCCACCATTTCATTATTCAGATTCCAAATAGTTGCTCGGCCACTATTTAAATTCTACGTGTCTCTTTATATGTACGAATGTGTCGAATTAATTAATGGCATCATCGGCAGTGGTGATGTCATTTTAACAGAAGGGCCACACACGAAGTAACATGATGTAAATTTTAAATCGTGTATAAAAGAAGCAACCCGTTTGTGGATTTAGTAATACTAACTGCAGGTAGAATACGTTTCGTAAAAAATATTATGTTTGCCCCGAATGCATTGAATGAACTTGCGGCAAGACAACCGCAGAGCGTGGAAGGATTATTGTAATTTAATCCTTTCGGATTCTCAAGGGCAACTTCGTAGCCCCTTGGTCATTTTGTATTTTTGGGTTTCAGATTCCAGACGGGAGTGTACGCGTCTTTTTTGCGGCACGACGGGAGAAGAAATACTCTTTGATTTTTTGTTTTTGTCGACGATTCCACTTTGCGGTGTATGTATATGCGTACTGAAATATGAACCTAACTTCAACCAAATATTCAGCTGCACAATGCATGCGCAAATACGATGTCGCAAGTTCTTACTGTTATATAGTGTATTTAATCGCCTTCCAACAATTTTGTACTAACGTATTTTTAATTGTTATCTAAAGATATATTGTTCCTACTAATTTTAACTAGACTCCTCGAGGGCAATTATTTAAAAAATATTAATGAAGTGTATTTAATTCTTACGTTTGTCAGTCATGTCAGATTGGAAGAATTTTAAGCATACGCGGATCTTATTACTGCTTTAGGCTTGAAATTGATAAGCATTTTCCACGCCCGAAATGAAACAAATGCTTTTTAATGGAAGGAAATGAACGAGCAGAAAACTTACATTTTCCGCCCATATAGATATTTCCTTGCATTAAAAAACATTCGTTTCACTTCAGGCTTGAAAAACGTGGCATGCAACACGTCCGTATATTTCAGGCCTAAGATATAAAAGTAGCAGGAATACAGGAAATGAGAATACTTTACACTGACCATGTCAGCTTTAATCATAGCAGTTATCTTTTATCGAGGTATGATTACGTTAACCTTGATGCGATACTCGTGAGAATTAAAACACAATTGTGCGAGCAGAGATACACGTCCTGTCTAAAATAGTACTTCTATAAAACACCGTGAAACAATATTCTATTTTAAAAATATTTTCATTTTAATTACCGTTTTCTGTTTTGTAAATGACCGTACCCACTCGTCACGAGTATTTGTTGATAACTGCTTGGCAACATATAGGGACCAAGTGTTTTTAACACTTAGAGTTTAATGTATGAAATAACAATTTGTTATTATTAACCATATGATTGTAGCCTTCGAGTGCGATTATCTTAACACGCGGGAATTATCCCACTAGGTTTTTTCGGCATTTTCCGTTTCCATCCAGCTTTTCATCTTCATTGCACTTTATTGCAGGTGTTCTAATGATGTTCAACTTCCTGGGCGGCGTACGCCACGGTGTTTGTTCATCTGCAGAAATTGCAAGAGCGATGAGGAGGAAACCAAGTAGAAGGACGAATTGCAGCTTCATTTCGTTATCGGACCCTGATAAGAACGGTTTTGTCTTCTCAGGCCTTTTTAATCAATAAACCACCAGGAAAGGATTTCTTTATCCTCTCGCTTTATGCGTTTATTTAACGCAGGCGTCACTTAATACTTTTTCAATACTGTAATATCGTTTCTTATAATTTCAGACTACTGGGGTATATCGAATTAACCGCAGCTTCAAGATTGTGATTGTGCTCACGCGGATTCGACACGAATGAGAGACTTCGGCCTGAAACTGGGAGTGTTCCAGAGAACTGCGTTTTTAGTATAAAGCTATATTTCGGACCTCGAAGGCCAGATAGGAGTATACTTTCTGTAAAGTATGCATATAGTGTACGTAAGGTACACCCTTAAATGTTCCACACACGCAAGATCTTTTGCCCTACCACGTATATGTGTATCTACAATTTGTATCTACGATTCCTTTAAGGGGATGTGAAAGTGACATCTGAAGAGTTTTTCATGAAACTTTTGACCGAACTGGGTGTGCCGAATCGTTTCATTTTTTATAAAAAAATTGTAACATAACTATAAACGATTTAAAAAAAAAAATTGAAATTTCATGGGCGTCAAGACCTTACTTATAGCCGCTACATTCACATTGTAAAGTGCGAAACGATTTGGTACAACTAGAGGAGAAAGTATCATAAATGATATTTGACGCCACTTTCATATTACACCTTAAGCAACATATTTAACTCCTAGGGTTTCACAATTTTAGCTACTTATTTTTGGGATCTACGAAAATTGGAAAATCTTGATTGTACTAACGTGTTTTCTGCTTCCACTAGGTTCATCGAATTCCTTCACAACGTTTGTCGACATATTCCATTTTCGTCCAGCTGTTCATTTGAGCCACATTTTAGACGTGGTGCCACGATAAAGCTGTAAAGCACAGTCATATTCGGGAAAATCGGTGGAAAAGTCCAGTGTTCAGGTGGGGCTTCAGGTGTGACATTAGGTTTAGTTTTAAATGTGGCCTCTGTCGTTGCTTGTGTTACATCTTCAAATGGGATTTCAGGTGGAGTTTGAATCGTTGTCGTTTGTAACACTACAGTTCGAGATATTCCTGGCTTCACTAGCAAAAAGGCGAATATAATCACGACTGGTAATATCGTAGCAGCCCTACACTTTGAAAGCACCATTTTTCACGGAAAACCGAATAAATATGAATACGTTTCCTGAAGGAGAATAAATAATGTCAAGCATGCCAGTAACTTTTCTTGTGAAGACTGCTCCGCGTGGGTTTCTAGTATTTATACCGGTTATATTCATTCGCACACAGGGATATGTCATTATAGACAGGTATATTTTTCCGGGTAGGGGATTCATCGAGCCACCAAACTAGATTTTAAACATATGTATCGGCATTCGTTATTAGCATACGTGTCACGTTATAATCACGATGCCATTATATTTTATTAAGTAAAAAAGATACCGACGAATCTTCCGGGGTGTATTCCTTTATCCTCGTATTAATTATTTTCTCGTGTTTGTCATCTGATGAATAAGTATTTCAATGTGCATGGAACTTCCCTGAGTTACTTTGCTGGCTCGATGCAAATTTCTGGAAAAATATTTTACTTGTAAATGCGTACCCAATGTTTTTCCTCAATTCTGCATTTAAGATAATTTCTATGAAATCTGGTAAGAAAATACGTATCGGTTATATTAGATTTATAGATTAGATACGTATTGGTTAGATTAGATTTAATGTTTTATTATTGAAATGATTTGTAATTACTTTTAATTCACTGGGGTAAATAGTTATTCAACTAATTATTAGATTTCTGAGTGATGAAACTTATCACTCATAAATTGTTTCACTAAGAAGTTTTTAATTTTTAGGTTTCAGAGTTTGAAAACACGCTAAAGCTCTTCGTACACTCGTCGCCAATTCAAGTCTACAATTCCTTTGAGCTATGTATGTACATATATTTAACTCCTAGGGCATTACAAATTTAATTATTTACTCTTGGGATTTGCGAAAATTAAAAATATCGATTTTACTGACGTGTTCTCTGCTTCCGTTAGGTCCTCCAACATTTGGTCCTTCACAATAGTTGCCGACATACTCCACCTTCGTCCAGCTCTTCATTTGGACCACACTTTAGACGCGGTGCCTCGATAATTCCAAAACGCCCCGCCAACTGTGAGCTGAGTTTTGAAGTCCCGTTTTTAGGTGTAGCTTCAGATGAGGAATTAGGTGTAGCTTCGGACGTGACTTGAGGTGTAGCTTCGGATGTGACTTTAGGTGCAGCTTGAGATGAGGCTTCAGATGCGATTTGAACCGTTGTCGCTTCGGACGTTACGGTTTGAGATATTCCTGGCTTCGCAGACAATAGGACGAATAATACTATGACTGAAAATATCGCGGACTTTGAGTGCACCATTATCTCACTGGAAACGGAATAAATAAGAAAGATTCTCGAAGGAGAATGAATATTGTCAAGCGCTTTCGATACCGTTCTTGTAACGACTGATCGGCGTCGGTTTCTAGTATTTATACCAGTTATGTTCATTCGCACACAGAGTTATGTTATTATAGACAGGTGGATTTTTCCCGGTAGCGAGAAATTAGATTCATCAACTCACCAGACTAGATCTGAAACACATAAATCGGTGTTTATTATTAGCATACGTGTCACGTTATCACCGCAATGTCGGCATATGTTATTCAACAAAAAATGCCGACAAATCTTCCGGGGTGTATTCATTAACTCTTCGATTTTTTTTTTCATTCTCTTGTGTTTGTTATTCAATGAAAAAGTGCTCCAAAATGCCAGGAACTTCCTTGGGTCACTTTGCAAGCCCGATGGAAATTTCTGATAAAAAGATCTTAACTCGCTGTAGACGTACATCCAAATTACTTTACTGATTCTTATTTTAAGGCCATTTCTACGAAATATTGTGGGAAAATATGTAGGAAAAAAATGTCAGTAATATTCGTCGAAAATTCTAATGTCGCCGGATTATCAAAATTATCAGTATCGTTCTGTGAAATCACTTTGAGGAGTTTTTCTTTTATTTCATTTTCATCACTTTGGCTTTCAGATTTGCAAGAAAAAAACCGGGGATTTACTGCTCCCAGGGTTTCCTGTATAGTTTCGCATCACAAAGTGCAATTACAAAAATGATTGGCATTAAGGAGCAGCTCTTAAGCGTCGTTGTTTCTGGAAAATGAAGATGTGCCATAATCTTAGTAGATTCTGCGTAGTTTCAGTTATTCATGCCTGATAATGATCTCTCATTGTGCAGACCGGTTTCACAGTGCAGTCGACTTTCGCATGATTTATGTAATCACTGTAATTTCAAGAAGTGACCTATCGCCGTTCATCCGCATCTCACGTTTATTCAAATTAATAATACCGCGCTGGATTAATAATACTCCGCTGTTATATGAAATTTTACAACTACAAGTTTTTTTCAAAGAGAGATTTTCTTTATAATTGCGCCGTTGTCCTTACCGAGTTTTTTTTTTCTTCGCGTATTAAAGTCGCTGTTATTCCGAAAACCAGTTAGATTGTAAAATGTTAAATGAGTTTATTCAAATTAATAACATCGCGCTGGATCAATAATACTCCGCTGTTATATGAAACTCTGCAACTGTAAGTTCTTTCAAAGAGAGATTTTCTTTATAGTTGCGCCGTTGTCCTTACCGAGTTGTTTTTTACTCGCGTATGAAAGCCTCCGTTATTCCAAAAACCAATTAGATTGTAAAATGTTAAATGAGTTTATTCAAATTAATAACATCGCGCTGCACGTTCTCCGCCGTTATATGAAACTCTGCAACTGCAAGTTCTTTCAAAGAGAGATTTTCTTTATAGTTGCGCCGTTGTCCTTACCGAGTTTTTTTTTTCCTCGCGTATTAAAGCCGCTGTTATTCCGAAAGCCACGTCCATTGGAAATTGTTAAAGGAGAGGCAGGTTTCTCCGCTTGTGTCAATGCTGTAGTAATTAAGTACAAGTCCCTTACGATCAGACCTTCTAGTTAATGATCTTTCTTGGTCTTCCGTTGTCGTCGGGTCTCGTACTGCTGTCGTGATTATCCCTGGGCGGTAAATCGATGATGTGCCTTTTACTGCGATTTTTTCCTTGACTCTTTGACTTCTCGTTAAACGAGTCCAACTTGTCCCCGATTTCTGCACAAGGTGCGATTTTCTCCGACATCGTGCATGCGCCAAAAAGGATGTCCAGAAAGATACTGCAGCCGAAAATTCTGCCCTGTACACCTTGGACCCTGTTTCTTTTCTCTCTCCGACGTTTTGCCAAGATTACGACAGGACCATTAAACAATTTACATAAGCGTCTGTGTACCTCTTAGCACCTTTCCTAAAATTCGCGGAAGAGAAGCCAGGCACTCCAAAGAAAATATTTATCCAACCTCTGTGAATTCTCAACGGAGAGATCCTCCCTTTTACCCAAACACACGGAACATATTTCTTAAATTTTATTCAAGGTAAAACACCCCTGAGTTAAAATAACTTTCCTTTTATTAAAAATGGGGCCAGTTGCTCGAAATGCATGTCCTCTTTAATAAAAGAAAAAACATGTAGAACATATTTCTTGTATGTACTTTATAAGAGGTAAAACACTTTTCTGGTAACGATAAATATACTAATGAAATATTTAAAGTAGTATGGACATAAGTGTAAGTCTAATTGTCGGAATACTAAGTGGTTATCTTTATTGGGACTTTTCACACACTGCTCCGCACATCCTTCGGATATATTGCTCGGATGAAATAAGTACTCATTACCGTGGTTTTACTTTCAAAGAATCTGACGGCAGCGGCCACGGCTATCCAGTCTGTATCCAATTGCACAAGGACCATAGTGATACTTCGACACCTCTCCTCGGTACTTCTTCCAGGGTATCGAATGCTTCCTTTTTTTCGGGGCTGCGCAACCCAAATAAGGAAATTAGATTAAGTAAGGTACTCCAACAAGTGCCGACGGGGTATTCCCTTAGGAAATCATGAATCGTAATGTTCGAAATCACATTATTACAATATAAAATTTTCAATATAAATGTTTCCATACGAAATAGAGAAAAACGTCACTCGACTGACGTTAGCCACAAACTCTGCATAATAATTCAACCAACAAGAAACGCGAAAAAAAAGAGGGTACTCTGTAAAATATTCCAATCTAAATCGACCATTACCGGCTTTGTCTTCGTTGCTCGATTTCTCGGATCTCTTCTTCTTTTCAGCTAAACGGTACCTCTTCACGATACTCTGGTCTTCCACACTTTCAGGCGTTTCCTGATCCTTTTCTGACGAACGATTCTGGACCGAAGAGTAGTCCTCATCCTTAATTGCATCCTTATATCCCTGGTCATCTTCAGGAGCATATTCGAGTTCCCCGGACACCTCTTCAGGCTCGTTAGGTATCTCTATCTGACTAACATCTTTGCTATCCCTAGACTGGAAGAGTTCGTATAAAGTAGGATCGGACACAATTCGAATACTACGTCGGTGACCAGGATAACGAATTTTCGCCGAAGCGGCTCCCAGAATCAAGAATACAGTCACTGTCAATCCAAGTACTTTTGATGCCATTTTATCAGTTTTTCTATGTCTCGATTTTTAACGGTATTTGCTTTTAGGTCGGGCCTAAAGAACCGGCAAATAGTTTGAATTTGCAGCGAATGATGCTGCGGAGGCTGCTGGACCGACTATCGACATATCCTGGTGCAGCGACAGGTCTATCATCTTCCCGTTGTCTCTTGAATAAATTCGATAAGGCAGGATGTTTGGCTTCCTGCGAGACCAGGAAATTATACGATCCACGCATTTTTATCACCTCTGTGGGTTTCAATCTCAAAGAGGGGTACACGAAGCCTGGCATATTTCCGGGAGAAAACTTTCAGCGAAATTGTTTTCCTTTTTTCCTTATGAAATTTCTGAGACTGCAGAATAGCCTATTTTTATCACATCTGCTGGTTTTAATCATCAAAAGGGGAAAACGAAGTTGAGGATGTTTAAAAAATGAGAAACTATTAAATGAGATTATTTATTTCAGTCTCTTTAAGGAATATTAAAGATATTTTTTGTTGTTTCTAGGATCAGTGGTTTTAGGACACTAGTTTCTTTTTCAACTATGGGCCTGTTTCAGAAGCATAATTGAGACAAATGAAGCATAATTGAGAGAAATCAAGTCAGCGGTGCACTCGGAAAGATGCTATCTCATTAACCGCATTCACATTTCTAACCTCATGGTTTGACGGATTATTTTCTGTAAATTGTTATTAATCGAAATTACGGTTCCTAACTTCGAAGTCCTTTAACGATAATGATATGCAGTCACGAGAGAAATGTGAAATTATATTTATGGTCCTTCCAAAGATTTCTGCTGCTTTCAAAGACCTTTAAGGGGATAAATTGGCGGACGTTGAAAAGTCAACTTCGAAGGATGGGAAACCAAAATTCCAAAAGGTAGGATTAAATCTTGGCGGCCGAGTTTCTAAAATAAGGTCATTCCTGGAATTGGTTCACGTGCGTTTAATATTAAGTACAAGTTGTAATTCAATGCCACTGCTCGTGCATGGGAAAAAAATGCATATAAACTCCGAGATTCTCCAATCCTTGCATCCTGAAATGACTCCAAGAGATGAAGAAATGATTATACAAAAGTAAGGATCTCGTCAATTTTATAATTCCATTAGAAATTATTATATATACGAGTACGCCACTATACGGAGCTCTCCAAGATTCTGTTCAAGGTGTTTTACGGCTCTTAAGGACCAGCGAGATTCAACATCTGAAGATAAATGATTTTTTACAAAGGGTATGTACCAATTTGTATTTTAACTCTATACACTTTAAAGACGTGGTCAAGGATCTTTAACGAGCACCCATCCTTTGAATAAAAATAGTTTTATTAAGTCGTCGTGAGTTGGCGTCTCACTCGTAGCCGTCAAGTCAAGTTAAACAATAGTCATACAAATTGTGAAACAGAAGTCGTAGAAAAGTGGTTGCGCGCAGGCAAAATAAATAATATATAAATTAATATGATTCGCTATAAATGGACGTGAATGATTTAGGCTTGGGCAATGACTTCCGGCGCGATTTCCCTCTTTTCTTGCTGATTAGCTGCCTGCGGTTGGTTGCTGAGAATCTCATGGTTCTCCCTGTTGCTGCGGACAGGATTCAAGTGGAACGTCGTTGCTGCTGGCTCTTCGGGTTCTACGGCTTGTTGCTGAGAAATCATCTGGTTTATCATTTCGCTGGGCGATGGAACAGCTCCTTCCGAGTCCTGGACGGATCTGGGAGCAGCATGTACTCCAGAAAACCTGGACATCATCCTCGGGAAGGACGGAGAGGAGACCGGCTCGTTGCAGTCATGGGAACGACCATGGACCATTGGAGTCAATTGTTGACCATGTCCCATACCGGGCTGGGAACTTCCTGGATGATAGGACTTCGGTGACGATCCCGAAGAGAACTTCACCCCTGGGGATTGTCCTCTACCGAACATGGGACTCGTCATGGAATCTCTCTGGAAAAAGGCATTAAAAAATCCTATTGAAGTACCATAAAAGTAAAACCAGGAAATTGGTACTTGGAAGAAGGACCGTCCCAATTTTGTTTTTTGTTCTCGAAACTGGAATGAAGCAAACATTGAAAAGGATGGAAGGAAATTAAGTGGAGAAATCATTTTCGAGGGAATAACGCAGAATAATCTTCATGCCTTCGTCGAGCCCATTTAGACATTAACCGATTTTCATTTTTCTTTCATACTTCTTTGCGTACGTATTTAAATACCTAAATATTATTTGTATGTACAAATTTGCGGGGGTATTATCTGTACTCTTTATCACCATGGGTATGTCTGAATCCAATGGGAGTAAATGACGTGGAAATTGAGAAAGGTGTTAAGAATAAGTTGAGATATGGTGGAAAATTGTCGCAACTTACCCCGTACATTGGCTGGTAGAACTGATCGGCAGGATTGTACATTCCTCCCATTCCCCCAAAACCATCCATGCCTCCCATACCCCCGAATCCACCCATATTTCCCATATTTCCCATACTTCCCATGCCGTAGCGAGGTCGAAGAAGGGCGGTATTGTGATAAAGTACCGGCGATGGTGAATCTAAAAATCCGGAACACCCACATTTTAATGTATAAATCCTGCTTAAACTGCGACACTTAAGTCTTATCTTAAAATTTTATTCTGATAAATAAATAGACAAGAAATGGGATTTTTCATGATACTTACAGAGAGGAACCGGACCACTTGGGGTGATGAGGCCTCGAAGAGGATCTCCTCTATGGTGCCCACCAGTGCTCAAATGGTGCGTCCTGGCCTTGTCGCTTTCCGAATTACCATCGAAAGATGGACCACTCATTATCATGGAGGGTGAGGATCCAGCACCATCGCCGAAAACTGGCTGTCCATCGCCCATGTTACCTCCGCGGGATTTGTACCAGGACAGGAGAGTAGGGGGACAAGGATTATTCAGAAAAGCGGTGGTGGCAATGGGCAGAGGTGCAATCGGGATAGGACTGAAAGGAATGGGACCGATAGAAGGTATGGTCGTGATAGTCACGGGACCACCTGATGGCCCAGACCCAGGGTATCCAGATCCCGACCCAGGGAATCCGGATCCAGGACCTCCAGTCCCGGAACCGGATGGACCACCAGGACCTCCAGGACCGCCGGCACCTCCTGGACCACCTGGTCCACCTGCACCACCTGGCCCACCTGCACCACTTGGTCCAGATCCAGGGAAGCCGGAGGAACCTCCAGGGAAGCCGGAGGAACCTCCAGGGAAGCCAGGGGAACCTCCAGGAATACCTCCAACTGGCAGAAGGGAGGCACTAGGCCCTAAAGGAGTCAATGGGATCAACGGGTGATGGAGAGGATGGTGAACAGCATGGTGGAGCTGATGGTGGAGGTGAGAATGATGGGGAGGATTGAAGAGGAAAGGTGGGCCCGATGGCGGGAAATAGGGTCCTGGGAAGGAGCCGGGATAGCCTCCAGGGAATCCTCCAGGATAACCTCCAGGGAAACCACCAGGGAACGATCCCGGGAAACCTCCAGGGTAGGAGCCAGGATGCAGCCCAGAATAGTGCCCAGGGAAAGGACCAGGTGCAAACAAGCTCGGCGTGCCGTATCCTGGGAAGCAAGGATCAATGTAAAAGCTTGGAGAAGGGATCAGGTACGATACGTCGGTAGGTTCCTGGTGATGTTCAGGTTGTGGTTCCGGTGGAACCGGCTCGACCTCCACCGGAGGGGGTGGAGGAGGCCCTGCAGGATCGCAGGGAATCGAGGCCCCTTGTCCTGGTCCTGGCTTGATTTCCACGCAGAAGGTCGTCGTGGACTTCTTCGCGCGGCCAACTTGCTTGGATTCTTCGGCATCTTCCACCGCAGGACCTTCTCGTTTCCTGATTTTAGAGTCCTCTAGGATCGCCACGTCCTTCTTCTCCGACTTTTCGAGCCTCGAGGGCTCATCTTTGGTGATTTCGGGATTCGAAGCTGATCGCTTCTCCGATTTTCGAAGGGTCGGACCTGCTAGCGCCGTTGCTGCCACCAGCAACGTCAGGACGAGCACCCCGTGGACGCGCATTGCTGGCTGGTGTGGTGCTCGATTCGGGGGACTCGAAAAACTGAACTGGCGACCTGCTCGGCGCCAGTTATAAATTCTTTTCGGCTGCGTTTAGGGGCGATGAAGTCCGAGGGGATTCGCGATGGTGCAACCCCGACACGCATCGAAACTGCAGACACGCAGCTTGGGGTTTCTTCATTATTGGGTCAATCGACGGATCTAGCTACGTTCGCACAAATTCCGAGTTTGGACAGCGAGGCGGTCAGAAACTTGAATTCGACGATTGCGACACAGCATTCTCATTTCGAGAGCCCCTCGAAAGCGGGATTGAAAAGTACCTGGTGATACAGACTTCACTTTTTTAGGGCGAACAAGATTAACTGCTTCTTTTAGGTCTCTTCTGTCAAAAAACTACTATTAATTCTGGGTTTCACATGTTTTTAGCCACTGTAGAAGGAGAAACGGATGGGTTTGTTCTTTCAAAAAACAAAGAATTGATACTAATTATTATTTTAAGATGTCTTTAGGTATGTCAAACAAAAAGAGATGTACAGCTTGGTCTGCCTTTTCCAAGGATTTCGAATTTAACCCGTACAAGAAAATTGAGTTGTTTTTACTCAACATCATTATATTATAAATTTATTCTATTTAGATTGCGCGAATAACGTGCAAATGTATACTCTTAATGATCCGTTAATTACGGTCCGCTCGGGTTAAACTATGCTTCTTTTTGTTACTGGAACTTATAATTATTAATTATCGATTAAAGTCCAGACCTAATGAGACGTCATGCATGCTTTCGTACGTTTTTTATATTTTTAACAACACATTCCTTTGCAGTGAAAATGCGCATTGCTTTGTAGCAGGTGCGCATTTTACGGCATTGTGTCGTTATTATTAAATAAACAGTCATCGGAATTTTCGAGCGTTTATAAATAATTTATTTATTCATTCTGGCGATTTCGAGATCGATCATTCCTAACATTCGCAAATTGTTGGGACACCAGAGTGGCGAAATTGTGACGCACGAGATACGCGCTCCACATTTTCGAAATACCCACGAATGATGGATTTCTCGGATATTTTGGAAGCATAATTACGAATCCTCTGCTTCGTAATTACGAAAAGAATTTTCACTCCGGACGGTTTGATGACACCTGCATTTTTTTCTTCTAGCATGCTGACATACTTGCTGCTCGTCGGTTCGACTTGCGATTCGTTTGAGTTTCTTTTAAACAATAATGTATACAAGTACTTCACATTTAACTTATGAATAGCAATGAAAGGTATTACAAAAAGAAAATTATATAACTTTTGATGACATAGTTATTATAAGTAATAATTACAGTTTTTATTTCACGTTGTTTGCATTTCGCTACCAAAAGAACCCTAATCGCGTATCTTTTGCAAAAATGTACAACTTTTCTGACATTGATTACTTTATCATAAGCATAAATACCTTGTGTACTTAATTCAATCAATATTGCATATTTAATAGTTTTGTTTCTAATTAAAGCGCCAGGAATACGATGCAAAAATAAAAGGAATGGAAAACATGATAAGAAATAAGTAAAGGGGAAAAACTTAATCTCTCAGACCGTCCATTTATTTTCCTAGCACATGACGTCAACAAATATCAACCTTTTCTTTGACAATACATTTACAGTGAAAATACAGTGAAAAATGGTACAAACAGAAATATGACAGCCATCAAATTTATTTTTTCACAGTCGACGTCTCGACCTGGCGAGCAATCGATTCGGTGACAGTCGGCAGATTTTCGATATCATCGATCATCTCCAGTTTCGTATCGGCAGCTTTAGGGACCCTCTCAACAGTTTTCCTCTGATCAGCAACGTCTTCGGCAACGGTTTTAACAGCCTCTTCAAGAACCTCGATGGGTTCCGAGTCTGACCTCTTTCCCTGGATTCGAACCCTGGTCTGGGTAGGGACCTTTTCCTCCAAAATAGTCTCAGGGCCCTGCAAGTCCTTGGGTACCTTATGGCTACTCCTGATCTTCTGCGACCCCTGAACGATCTTCATTTCTTCAGGTTTCACCTTCTGGACCTCCGCTTCAGGAACAGGTTCCTTGGCCGTCTTCTCCGCATTTCTTTGCTGGCCTTTCTGCGGACCGATCTGCGCCAACCTGGAGTTCCTGTTTTCCGACCCTGAAGAGGCGTCCCTGGAGCCATAAGTCCCATCAACAGCCCCATAATACCTGGCACGTTGAAGAGCATTCTCATACTGCTGTCGAAGAGTAGCCTCGGCAATGGCCTTCTTCACCAGCTGCTCCAGTTCTCCATCGGACAAAGGATCTTCGAACCTGGTGGGGAACTGGGGTCCTGTGGGCATGGGGAAGGTGGAGACCGAATAAGGAAGGGCGTCTTCAGGGTCGCTCAAAGGACCTGCATCGGCTCTGTAGACCACGAAGAGCCTTTGCGGTTCTGTCGCCTCGTGGTAAGGATTCTGTTCCTGGTAGAAATTCCTATCTTGGTAAGCACTTTGGTCCTGGTAGGAACTCCTATCCTCGTAGGGGTTCCTCTCCTGATAAAGACTTCTATCCTGGTATCGCGGAACTTCAAAGTTACTCTTGTAGAAATTTAAAGCGCTGAAAGGATTCTCCTGGTATCGGTAGGGCGAGTCCTCGCTGGCCTTGGCTTTGCCTTCAGGATCGACGAACTCGAAGGAGCTCTTAGGCTGGAAGGAGCCAGGCTTGTAATTTTCGGAGTACTTTTCCGATTGACTGTTTACCGCGTTGTACAGGTTTTCTCCATACGGCAAGGACCTGGTACTGTATCTCCTGTTGCCTTGAAATTGGGTCGGTTGGTAAGACTCCACTTCTGCCAGGGCTGCTGCGCTCGCCGTGGAAGAGGGGGATGAACATGACGAAGAGGGAGAGCTTTGTGAGTAGTTTTCAGAGTTTCGCTGGTTTCGGTCACCATAAGGAGATCCGTGTTCTAGGACCTCCTCAGGGTCTGTGGATGCCGAAGAAGGCCCTTGGCGAGACGAGGAAGACGCCGAAGAGTAACCCGAAGAGTCTTGACTTCTCGAAATCCTGCCATAATTTGAATATGGAGATTGACTTGATCCGTAGGAGGTCAAGTAGTCTGCGAGGTGTCTCGCAGCTTTCGGGGAGAAACTTGAAGGTGACCATTGTGATGCACTTGCTGATTCCAACTCGTGGTACAATCTGCTCGCCTGGGACTCATCGTGACTAGCTGGACCGAACCTGAAGAGTCAAATAGATCCAATTTACAAGAATTATTTTTAGTTGTTAAATAATTTAGAGACACAAGTAACTGAAATTTTATAACGTTAGGTTTACATCCTAAATCACCAAGTATTGGGTTGTCCCATGAGTTCGCGGATAAAATTTCTTTCCTACGTGTTTTTATTGAACATAATTGCGCGCTTAACGAGAGTTAAGCCTAAGAGAACGGAAATTGGATTATTTTTACTCATCGTCACCATATCTTATATCTGCACTTTATGTATTCTCACGTAATGGTCCCAAAGAAACAAAATGAGTCTATTTCTTGAAGAGAGTTTTCCATATGTTTTACATACATTTATGGTATGATGACGGGTAATAATTACTCAATTTCCACTCAAGGGTTAAATAAAATTGCCGGGAAGGTAGTAGGAACTAACGATACTACAGAATACATTATTAATTAATACATGATACGTTTCGTTGAAAAAAGTGCGTTTTGAATTTTTAAAGATCTGTCCCTGAATTTATAGAACAACCCAACATATCTCCCATACATATAACCGAGATATAATTAGGTTCATTGTCCGTTTAAACAGTTAGCTATTATGACCTCTTTGAGAAGCGTGTATTCATGACGAGTGTGCTCGTCAAAGATGGCTAACTGGTTAAAAGATTAATTTCACTGTCTTTGTGTATGTACATATTAACTAAATTTATCCAGTGATCTAATATCCGTGACTTTCTATTTTAATAAAATATTCCTTTGTTTTAGAGATGCCTTGCTTACCACGAAGACATTAATGCTCGCTCTTGGCATTTGGCGCAATAAGGGGACGCTTGTCTGATGTTCCTGAAATTCCGGTCGAATGGCTGGTCCATGTGAATGCAAGCATGATGACCAAAGGCCGCATTCGAAACGGCCAAGAAGAGGAAAAGCACCGTGATAAGCACACTCTCCGACATCGCTCGTACCTTTGATTTCAAAGAGGACCCATCGAAACACTTTATAACCTCGTACGGATCCAAGCATGTCGATTGAGCAACCATGTTGGATGTTGTTCTCCAAATATTTTGCTCCCCGTCGTCGGGCCTAAATAACATTTTGCAGGAATAAGAGGAAGATGCAAAATTATTTAATATTCAGCATACGCGTGAACCGATTCTAGAGGCTGTAAGCGATAATTATAGAATATTTAATTAAGGATTAAGCAGCCATGTTGGATGTTGTTCTCCAAATATTTTGCTCCCCGTCGTCGGGCCTAAATAACATTTTGCAGGAATAAGAGGGAAATGCAAAATTATTTAATATTCAGCATACGCGTGAACCGATTCTAGAGGCTGTAAGCGATAATTATAGAATATTTAATTAAGGATTACCGTCGTTGATTGATATCTCAAGATGCTCTTTTAGACGGAGACTCGCTTGGATGTATGCTTTTGATTTGCTTCCACATTTATTGCCAGGCAGCGGAATTTCTAATTAATTTCTAGTTAATCTCAATTGTTATTAGCGATGTTTCACGATGGTTCCTTTATTTCTCTTTTAGACCCGAGTCGGGTGACGACATCATATCCGAGAAGTCCTTGCAAGCGGTGAAGGAAAGCATTAACTTCCTGAAACAACGTGAGTGTTAATCGACGCGATTGTTTTATAAGTAATAAGCAATGATTCACGGATACCTGGTTTTACGTCTTCCTGATCAGGGCTCGGTGAAGGTGAAATTATTGGGGGAAGTACGATTCAGTTTTGATATCGTTATCCGACATTGGCTACAGCTTCTTGGAAGTACTGGAGAACGGTGAACTGTTTTTGTTTTTTTTTTGTTTCAGTCGTCGCATTAAAATGGGAAAACTCATTTACAGAATGCAAGCCTTGGAAAAACTGATGCATTAAAATTTCCTTCCCGAGATTTTCAGCATTTTCATTTTTTTAACAGACCCAAACTTGGCGTTAAGGTGATGTCAAAGTGGCGTCGAAGAGGTTTCGTTTATAAAACATTTCTCCCAACTCGATTTGCCGAATAGTCTGAAACTTTACAACGTGAATAGGGAAACCATAAGGAAGGTCCTGAAGCTCATGAAATTTCAATTTTTTTAAAAATTCGTTTATAGTTTCAAAAGTTGTTATAAGAAAAATTAAATTTCATGGGGGGTCAGGATTTTCCTTATAGCCGCCATATTCACATTGCAAAGTTTGAAACAATTCGGTACACCCTGTTCGGAGAAAAGTTTCATGAACGATTCACTCCTCAAATTCTACTTTCACATCCCCTTAAGGACTGTAGCGTTTTACGCATGTACATAGCTCCACGCATACGTATACAACGTATGCAAGTGTATATTTGGCGCGCAACTCTACCGAGGTTCGGTTTCTAAATTTCTTCTCTACTCTTCGATTTTTTATGGGAAAAAAAACAAAACAGACGCACGCGAAGAGGGTCTGTTTCGTCGAGCCGGACGTCGGGAATTGCGAAAGCAAATTCTAACTGCCCTGAAGAAAGGCGAGAATCCAAATTTGGAAAATCTAGACGAAGCTGCCTTGGAATGCGCCGCGGCTCTTCAGCTTTTTGTAAGCCGCTTGAAGAAGCCAGTTATGCCTCAGCATGTGCAAGAACTCATTCTTGGTAACTTACTTCTTATTACCATCAACTCTCAATAATATGATAAAAACGTCACCGCGTACGTGAATCCGTAAAAGAGATGAGAGTTAAATTATTCTAACATTTTCGGTCAAGTATGAAAAGTATAAAATGGTATAAGTCTCTTCAATTGGCTGACGCATCTTTAATTCCATAATTCGTTCCATAATGTGTCACAAGTTGCATGGAATGTTTACAGTAGCCTGTTGTAAGTCGGCGAAGGACATTCAGTGACCATTAACAAAGTCATTTCGCGATATTATATTTTGACAACTGCATTGACAATCGATACGCCGGGTGCGGATTGCATAACGAAGCATTGCTCAACGTCCTGTACACTTAATGCATCCGTTTATGCAGTCATCGACAACGAAATTCTGAATATTTCTTGATCGTCCTTGTCAGCTGTTATTTGAACTTCGAAATCCGTCACGAGTTCACTAAAGGACATTTTTCTTTACCGTAATTATTTCATCGTTTAAAGACGTCTACTTACTGGCAAATTTCATCGGTAAATGAATATTACGATCTAGATTAAAATATCATTTGTAAGTAAATGGTAAAATGTGTTTACTTAAAATAAACACAAAGAAAGGACATTCGCATTGTACTTTCAAGACGATGTCATATATATATATTTGCAGCATTTCTTTTAAAAAAAAGAAAAAACAAGAGTAGAGCTTTCCGTTATCCTGCATATGTTTTCGGAGAATTACGTTTGGCTGATACGTAAAAAAAAAAAACATTATTATGTATGAAATTATCTATCTGGTTATTGTTTTACAGTTGGTATCGTTTACGTTTGCGACATTCGAAAAGTACATGGGACACAAGTACAGTAGCAGATTTTTCTTGACATTTTCTTGACGTATAGTTTGATATTGAGTTTGAAATTTCTTCATTAAATTGTAAGCAAAAGTCCATCTTAAACAGAAAATCAATACGAGGCTGTAATTAGTGTTAACTATTTTGATACATGCGCAACGTTTAAATGATACCTTATTTATATAAGCTTCTTATTTATAAAAGCCTATAAAACTGCGCGACTGACATTTGCCGCGGAGGTGAACAAGTTGTCATTAATGATAATTGATTCCTCATGGTATTTATAAAGAAAGGTCAAAGAAATATCAAGAAATAAATATTGAATTTTCATTCTTCAACAAAATACGGTCGGTCAAGCACACGATCCATCTCGTAATAAGAAAACATTTGATAGTTGGCGTTTGCTATTATAAAAGTAACTTTCATTAACCGAGTTTATCGCAAGAATTATTCTTTTCGCCCGAATTTAGTATCATAAGAATTTCTTTTTTTTCAGCCGATAATCCAGGAGTGGAGGCGCATATAGTAGCTCGAGATGCTCTCGGCTTAATTCGTCAAGACGTAAGTGGTCGACATGGAGAACTTCTGGCTGATCTTTTGGGTTTATTAAGGTGATATGAAAGTGTAATATATACGCAACAAGAAGTCAAAATATAAAACTTTTCTCCAAACTGGGTGCGCCGAATTATCTTAAACTTTAACACGAGATTATGGAGGCCCTAAGGAACAACGCGCTGCCCATGAAATTTCTTTTTTTCGCAAAAAAAATGCTGTACTTATATCGGACAAGAACCAAAAAAAGATATTTCGTTTTTTTTCGAAAAAATAAAATTTCACGAGCAGCGCGTTCTTCCTTAGAGCCTCCATAATCACGTGTTAAGGTTTTAGATAATTTCGTGCACCCAGTTTGGAGAAAAGCTTTATAAATGTTTTGACTTTCTGGTATGTATATATCACACTTTCATATCACCTTAAGGCATTTAACCCTCACCGCTCCTCCGTCTGAATGTTCGGAATTGAGAGGCTCTCCCTTGCCCGTGGCTCTACTTCCTGTTTTCTTCACCCTTACCGTAAGTAGTTCCAAATAGCTTTAATTAAATAATTAGGAGGATGCGATCGCTAACGCGACAGTTTATTATATAGGATTGAGGAGACGTGAAAGAGGTCTCGTTTATAAAACTTCTAAGTGGGTGTCGCGAATCGTTTCAAACGTTCATAACGTGAACATGGAGGCTATAAGGAAAAGAGCCACTTCCGAATTACTTTAATTCCTGGATAGTCGCAACCGATTCTTTCTTTAATGCGCGAGGAATGACCTACATCTTGCTGTGTGTGCAACACTTTTATGCCCTTCTTTGATAGCCGGCTGACCTGGTAAAATGGCGTCAAGTAGCGGCGCGATTCAGCGAATTAATTACCGAGGCACCTACGCAGCTTCGGGTTAACGCAAGTCCGTCGACAGACGACCAAGTAATGAGGGATTTCATCGAGGTCAGTCATTATAATGATAAATCTCCAATGAATTAATCAGATGCGCCTCAACGGCTTAAAACCGTAACATTTAGTTCAACGACCTCCGACGCCATGGGTAAACGTTTTTAGACATTTTTCTTCCATTTACAACAATCACGAGTGTCTAATCTTACATTTCAGTACCCTCATTACTACGTGTTTATTAGTACTTTCAATTGCTATGACGCAACTTCGTAAATATATTTCGTATCCATTCGTAGCTTGAAGAAAATGGCGCTGAAGAATCGGAACAGCTCGCGAGATTACGCGAGCTCTCGCTCTTCTATCCCTTAATAAGACTAACGAATCCTCGAAACGCGCGTAAGTTCGCAATTACGATGAACATATGGCGAGCAATAAAAATGTCTTCAGCCGCTTTCTATTTTAGGTCAAGTCGGAGAAATGGCTCGAGTTCTCGCAGCTCCTCTGCGTCGACCACCACCGAGCAGATTGCATCCGGTTATCTCCCGTACAATTAGATGAAGTTTCGTTTTCGAGGGCAGATATCCTTAATTCTTGACCTGAGAAGCGCCACGATAAACAAACGTGTGCCTCAACAGCTGCAAACGCAAGCTTAAACATTAAAGCCAACAAAGGAATCGGTAAACGCCATAAAACTGTGGAAATCATTTGGACATTTATTTTCTGTAGCAAGTACCTCTACGTACTTAAGAAAAGATATACATTCACCTATTCAGAGTGTGAAAAATAAATTATGTACAACCTCTGCAACGAGATCTAACTGGGACCTGAATACTGAAGATAATAGCACAGAACTTTGGTCTTAAGGGGATGCGAAAGTGGCATCTGAAGAGTCAATCGTTCATGAAACTTTTTTACGATCTGGGAGTACCGAATCGTTTCAACGTGAACATGGAGGCTGTAAGGAAGGTCCTGACACTCATAAAATTTCACTTTTAACCACAAATTTTTAAAATATCTTAACAAGTTGAAAACAAATTGAAATTTCACGAGTTTCAGGACCTTCCTTATAGCCTCCATATTTATATTGTAAAGTTTGAATCGATTCGATTCATCCAGTTCGGAGAAAAGTTTCATGAACGAGAACTCTTTGGCGCCACTGTCACATCACCTTAACTAGGCCAGCCATTAATTTTATGTTTAACGGATATTCCCTATTTTGCAACAATAATCCTCGAACAGACGAGGGCAATTTGTGCAAGTCCTGCGTATAAAAGTATAATAATAAAACGAGATTCTCCTTATATCTAGATATTTGTATCTAACAATGGTATAGTCTCGTAGAATCTTTGTGTAATTGCAGGTTTATGGTCATTTACCCTCCGGTTATTTGTGGACTGTCATTCATGACTTACAATCGTAATATTTGATTTCTTTAACAGTAAAATGGAATGTCAACGTTTACAGATCACCAGCTTTATCACGTTTACGGTACAGTTAAAAAATACGGAGACTTTGGTCCATTTGAAGTTATTGACCACTTATTGAGAAAAGCTCTGTACATTAGACAGGTACGAAGAATAAAGTAACGGCTCTCGAATTTGCCAAGGACACTTGATATCTAACGATAGAGTTCTATTCTAGATGTAATGTTCTTTGTTTCCCATCTGTCTAACACTCCATAGAAATGTGTTCCTTTTAAGTCACTTTAAAACAGGCATCATAGATTTCCTTCTAACATGTATCCAAATTATCGCCGAGAAAAATGATAACCAATACGTCATCTTTTGGTCTTCACAGCTTTTCGTAACACTTTGTTCTTTCATGCCTCGGTTAAATTCGCTGATAGTAACTTTCAAGTATACATTCTTAATAAGCCGAATGATATAAATAAGAAATATTAAATGTTTACCACCTAAGTGTAACGCGTTTATACACTCTTAATATAGTATTATATATTATTATAGCAAGACAGTGGAATGTCAACAGTATAACGGAAAGATGTTTATAAAATCTGATATTTTGTTGTTTGTTACGAGTTTGCGGTAAACATTTAGTACATCTGATTTATATCACATCGTAGTTACTTGGTATCCGAATATTAAATAATGAAGAATATGTGTGACTCGAATGTCAAATAGCCACACGAAACACCCGGTAGTGGAAACATCACGCAGGATTACCCGTCTAGATTAATGATTAATAAACTTTCACTGGAATTGTGAATGTCAGCAGAGGTATAGTGAACGACATAAATGTATCCTAAATTATAGCAACCAGTGTCATAGCTTTGACTGTGGAGCTTTCAGTGGATTCTTCGACGCAGAAAGAAGCTCCGTCCACCAGTCGGCCCTTTCCATGCCTCCTTGGTTACACATGAAAACCTCTTCAAGACGTTCATACACCTAAAATAAAATTTGTTTCAATACTTATACTATTATTTATCATCCAGGAAATCTAACTAGTACCTTTCCATCCGACATTCCCAGTACAGAGTTAATTGCAAAATCTGGAGGTGCTAGAGCATCAGCCACAGCAACTGCTTCTGGTTTCAGCTGAGCGCACAGTTCCAAAATACTTTCCCGTAAAAGATCAGTCATTTGTGAATTACTACAGTAGCCTCCTACAATAAATTACAGAAGGCGATCAAGGAAATTATTTTTAATCGGTAAAACATTCGCGTTTTTAAATGCGAAAATAAGTAACATTTACCTTGATAAAAAGTAGTTAAATGTTTCTCAAGGCATGACAGTGAATACAATAAGATCAGCTTGTCTAAAACAGTTTTCATGCTTCCTGTACTAGGTCCAGGTCGAACGACTTTGTTTACTCGGATATTACAGTATTTCAGTACTGTTATCTGGAAATTTGTTTGTCATTAATTTAACGGAATAGCTGTAATACGCAAAATAAAAGCGTATATACTTCTCCAAACGCCCTTGATAAATTCGCTGCTCTGTACACTTGCGTTCGACTGCGTGCCGTAAAATTATTAAGACCTTGGGAGATCCCTTCTTGAAATTTTCGTTCAGTATCCATCACTAACCAAGTGATCAACCATTCGTAAGCCTTATTGACAACTGAAAGACGAACTTGGTTATATTTTATTCCAAGCGAAGAGTAATGTTTCATAAATAAAGCATAAAGTATTCCACACGCGATTGTGAGACAATTATACGAAAGGTTTCTCCTTACATTTGTAAGTCATTATATCATTTATACTGTTATAATTGAATTTCTCTTTCAGTATACTGTTACTTCTCAGGAAGAAATCCACGGAATTCAATGGACTTGAAGTAGAAGAACTTTTCGAGTCTTTCCATTGTCGCAAGAGCCAGTTACTAGTTTGTTGCACTAATACATTATTATCGCCTTCGTAGGTCACAGTTGGTTCTTGATTTGCACTCATCTCACCCAAATTAGCAGCTGAAATTACAAGACGTCGTTAAATTTGCTCTTTGAATTAGTTAAAAAATAATTGTAATTTGCGATGTGACAATAGTCATTATTTTTTATATTAATAATATTTGTAATACCTTTATGATATCCATGACCGCCACAAGCCTCTCTGCATTCTCGAATTGCATCCCTACATGTCCAAGTAATTAAAGGTTTTATGGCAGATGTAATGCAATGAATTTCAGCCACGATTTCAGTCTAAAATGCAATGCTGTAATTAAGAAAACGGGAAAAACGTACGTACACAATATTCAGTAGTTAAAAAAAAAAGAAATTACTCACAAGGTTGGTTATACTTTTTGCTTCCATAGTTCTTTGTATACGATCTAAGTAGACATCGGAGAATTCAGTCATGCATAGTCGGAAAACGCAAGCAGCAGCCAAGTAGGGAAACAGCCTCCATCGCTAAAAATAAACAAGGAATTCGAGTAACTCTGAGAATCCTTATATAATCATTTTAGAACGAATTAAAATAATTTGTATAGACATAATTTAAAAATTGAAGAATTTACATGAAGTTCGTATTCGATTATCGGCGTTTCCGTTTCACCGTTGGTCATAAACGATGAAGCAAATTGTGTCCTGACAGCTGCATATCGCACAGCAATAACTATTGCTGAACCAAGGATATTTGTGCATTCCTGTGAGATTCCCACACGGCCAGCCGACAAATTTTCTAGAGCAGCGCCTGAAACATATCGTGCACTGTTTTTAAAAAATACCTGGTTCCGGGATATTAACATTTTTCTAAAGTATTCAATAATTCACTGGTAATGAATTGAATGGTATAGACAAAATATATACTAATATAGAGACGGTATATTATTCTTGTCCCTGTAATGTACTCGAAAATCGCAGTTGCAGAAAGATCCACTACCAAGAATCTTTTCAGGATCAGAGAAGGAACTTTCGTATTCTCCTTCTGGCGTGACATCGCTAGTCCTGTTCAATAAATTAACCCTTGGTATTCTGTAGTTATTGAACATAATAAATCTGGAAACGAACAATTTAACGTTTGAGTAAAATACTTGAAGTGGTGTTCATTGTTATGTACTAATGTGGGAATACAAGATAGCATCCAACTGACCCGTTATCGATTCCATGGAGGCCAATTTTTTCACCTACATCTCCTACAGTAAGACCAGGGTAGGGCAAATACGTTTTAGGGTCCCTTACTGGTACGATAAAGGCATGCAGTCCATGACACTTCCCAAGAGTCACCAACTGCGCGAATACGATTGCTATTGTACTTGTTTTCCCTGCAATGCCATGTACCACTTACTTATTTCATATGCAAATAAAGGTCGGTTGCACTAACGTGTGTTATTATCTCTAATCCAGGATTATTTATCGCGTAATTAATGCTAATTGCCCGACTTCAGGTGCTTATCTAACAGCAAATTTTAATCTTCGGTTAGCTTCATTTTCAACGGTGCAAAATGAATTTCACTCATCCGAAATTAACTAGTCATTGTTAAGGGATCTCCCGTTAATCACGGTTGGTGCAACCGGGTCAAAATGATCTTACAATTTTTGTTAACACCCGTACCTAAATTTCCTACCCAACATTTAGCAGCCTGAAAATCAGGCGTTTGTAGAACGAATTCTTGCGTACTAGGATCATAAGTCGCAGTTGTCCTCATCATTTTTGTGTTGCTTCCATGACCAATCTCGGTCAGAGCGAAACAGCCGAGCATCTAAAAAATGTAAATAGTCATAATTGAAGGCTTTATATGATTTACTGATTTTAATAGGATTTAAGCGATTACCTTCTTGTTCCAAATTGCCTCATAAATAGGCAGGTGTCGTTCGGTTCCCAAACTTAGAAGAGCATTACTAAAGAGGTAAATTCCTATAGCCACTTTCACAGATAGGGAAGGGTTGACCACGTTCGTCGCCTCGTTCAGAGCCATTATTAGCCCCGTCTAAAAAGCGATTTTGTTACAATTACCATTATTCATTGATACCGGCTCATTAGCGATGAGTTATGTGACTACCTTTGTCTTATAATCTAGTTCCTTTATATTTGCTGGCAAAAATTCCAAGTGGTTTAGACGGGCAAGTTGTCTGGCCACTCGTCTCTTCTGCTCATTCGCACTTGGCATCGTTCTATTGTCAGGATGAAATTCAGGATCATCTTGCATTGCATTCCATACCTTCATCTGCAAGATATGTGTATTAATGGTTACAAAAGAAATTCAAAAGAAGTCTAGTGGTTAAGAGCTAATGTTTTATTATTCATTTAAGTCGTAAAAAACGTACAAGGCTAAATGCTGAACTCTGATTTTACTCGATAATAAGTGGATCATTAATGTTACCTTCAGGCGGAGCTTGCTGGAGTCTTCAAGAACCACTCGAAGTCGTTTCCAGGAAAAACTTGCGGAAGATCGGTATTTTTCTAGAGCGCCTCCGAAAGGCAAATCTCCCATCCACGAGAGATCCTCCTCGGAGTTGTCCAAATTCATCTTTCCCACGGTCATTTTTTGGATTCCTTTTTAAACTAATAAAAACGTCGAAATTAATATCAGTGACCAATCTGCGCAATTAACTTATGCGAGATATTTTTATTCTAATTTTTCATTGGGTAAAAAATTCCCTAGATAATTCATAGCTTATCTGAAAATATGGGAAATTGTTGTGTTTGCAAACTGCCTACAACCTTGACGTACAATAGAATGGAAGGATCGATTCTAGTCAATAAGAAAGAATTATGCAAATTACTTCTATCTGTCAATACCATTTTTTAAATTCTTGAATTGCTCTGGCCTTCATTTAAAACATTACAACGCCCCAAGACCTTCAGATTATCTAACTATCGTAACGGAGTTTTTAGTTTAATTCATGGAGCCTAAAATTAACATTACAAACAATGGCATCGAACATTCCGTGATATTTTTCGTTCAGGGGCTTTGGTCTCACATAAATTATCACCAACAATGATTGGGGTCATTAAACGACGTTTTATATATGGGATTTAAATCCGTAATGGGTTTAAATTGACCGACTCAAGTGGAGAGGCAGAAAAGTCATTCGCTGCAGCGAATAACCGAATCTGCCCCTTACTGCAGAGAACAAAAAAATGAATAGTTTCTACTATTCAAATAGTTTCGCCACTTAACACAAGTGGGTGGAAATATCTGTTAATAATAAAAATATAAAGTTAGGGTAAGGTTCGCTATCTCAAGAAAGACCGCGAGATACTTTACAAGTGATAAATTCAAATAAAAAATCAATTCACGAATATGGATTTCATTGTTTACTCCAAAGTCTTCTAGAACGGCTTTTCAAAATTGGTGAACATGGAGGCTATAAGAAAGGTGCCTCGTAAAATCTCACTTTTTATACAAAAAATTGAAATTTCATTAGGTTTAGGATCTTCCTTATACCCTCGATTTTTAAAATGTAAAGTGTAAGTCGATACGGCACCCCCAGTTTGGAGAAAAGTTTCACGAATGAGAACACTTTGACGCCACTTTCAGATCCCCTTAATAGGCGCGTAATAAGTCAATATCGCTGTTATCTGTTGAATATTCCATCACTGAGAACAATTAATAATACCTAACAACTCTTTTTAACCGAGTAGTTTCACGTTTCAATGTTATTCGGTGTAATTGGGGACCGGAAACGGAAGCTGCGAGGGCCTCGGTCGCCAACTTATACGCGTAGCGCCGCCAATGGCCGGAAATCCAGGCGCGATTTGCGTCTGCGATTGGCAGGGAATACCGCCGACCAGCTTCCTCCCCTCCGCAGTCCTAGCACGAGGTGAAGAATCAAACGGCGTTATTTCCGCAATTAAAGCATCACACCCTCGGCCAGCCTAGCTGGTCTACGAGCCGAGAGTTCTATAACCCCGCGAGCAGTGAACGAGAGAAAATCGGCGAGTATTTTTACCTAAGACCCAGGGATTTCGACTTACGATTCTCGGTCTACTGTTCCGAATCGCGGAAGTCGGAGCCGGAGGGGACACGTGCGTCTTTCGACACTAATCGACAGGGCCGACACCGCCCACCGGCTTTGGTGCACAGCTGACACGGAAACTCTAGGAGTTTATTTAAAATGGACGGATATTTAAAACGGGCCCTTACCGTTTCTTGCTCTCGCGGCCGAATCTCGATAAATTCGAGTTTATCGAGAGTCGGTAATCATTTAGCGAACGGAGGACCCGTGGGAGGACGAGAGGAGATATAACGGAGACTCACCTATCGGTCGCGGTTGGTGTCGGCGGACTGAGCGCAGGTTCGAACTCGCAGCAGGTGGACTGCCGGTGGCCGCCAACCGCACGCGACGGCGTCCTAGGAAACGCTGTCTGGCGAGACGGAACGCTTCACCGTTGACTGCAGTTGACTGCCCGCCGTCAACTGATAGCGTTGATGGTCAGTCCTATGCATGTAATACTCCTACATCGCCGAGCCTTTCGAGCGATCCCATCGCGACGGCAGTTGATGCGAGATGTCCTCTCTGCGCATGCGCCTCTATCCCCGCCATATCTGATTCGCGAAGCTGAATCGGACCGTCGATCTTGTTTCACGAAACTCTCGAAAGTATCGTGAAATTTGCTCAGTAGGGTCATCCACGATGAGGAAATGAGATCATTTTTTTTACAACACGTGTTTATCGCATGCCGTTGACTGTGAAAATTCTAAAGGATTCAAGGTTGGCTTGTGGACGAATATTCAAAAAGTACCGCCGAAAGTTCAGGGGCTGTGCGCATGCGCACAATGGTGGAAGACTGAATAGAGTTGGTGTTGTCTTCATGTTTGTCCATACCGGCGGAGCGGAGAAGGATGCAAAGTAAATGGATTTGGTATCGGCATTTATCGACGATTTTAAATTGGAATCAAATATATTAATTAAAAAATCATTATTTAACTACATAATAAATCAATAAATGAGTGATCGATCCATCAATTTTCCAACGAATGAATGAATAAATTGGATAATTAATCGAATCGGACGTGTGTAAATTGACCTTAAATGATGCCTTTACATTACTATGTAAGGACTGTACGCAAATCAAAAATCACGTATTATTTATAAAATAATTTTATCTCATCGAGCAGAATGTAACATACCCTGCCTGTAAGTATATTATATTCTGTCACTAAGCTAAGACTAACATTCTCAATGCGTCTTAAAAGTACAACCTCGATATAATATCATGTCCAGGACGTTAAGAAAAACTGTCCTTGGGAGCATCGCTGATTAGGAACTTAAAATCCACTCCCACGTTCACCGATTTCCATTTTGTGGTTGCGCCGTGTAAAATATATGTCCGGTTTGAGGTCTTGAAAAGCTAGCTATATGTTGGACGTGACAATAGTCTAAAATCATATTTAAGTTCGACGACACTCTATTATAAATGTAGTTTGAATGTACTCTTGGACGATCCCGAGGTTGCTACTTTGTGTCATTGGTTGTATGCAATAAATTATTTCATTATATCAGTAAATATATAAGGACGTTGTCACGAACGTAATGCAAGGCATGGAGATGGAAAAGAGAATGTTGCAATAAAAGTTCAGTCATCGGATTCGAAAATTAAGGCTGGTCCTTTGTTGCTCCCGCATGTCGGGAAATCTATTGGCACGATTGGTATTGTTTCAGAGGTACCAACGCGCATAAGAAATTGCATACCAGGCCCGAGAATCATTGGTGCAATTGCAGTGCTTCTCACTTCCCATAACCAGTAACCTGAAACAATTTGTGAAAATATATTTTATTTACATAATATTATTTAACTTTGATTAGCGCAGAAAAAAATAGATTAATAAACGCGAATCGGCGGTGCTTCCTCGCGGGTCGGGACCGCCAGACATTATACATAGAAAGTCGGCCAAAAAGAATACTTGGACCGAATCCACCACGTCACAATATGTATTAACATATGATCTGATAAAAAATTCAAAAACTTTATATTATGGATTAACAGGTTAAGGAATGTAAAACTCACCAAGATTGTCAGCATGAAATCGAAGAATAACATATCCTTTACTCGGAACAACAAAGGAGTCCTTCTTCAATGGATTTATGCTGTTTCGGTGTAACTGTTCTTTGTTATCCAGAGATTTAATTTCTTCCTTAGAGATTGGCTTTTCAAAGCTTCCTCTTCCGATAACATTCACATTGTGCCCGTGTGAGTGGAAAGTGAATGAGATATTACTTCCAAACCCTGAAAAATATATTTGTAAGATCATAAACTAAGCACATCGCATTACAGAAACCCGAGTAAATCGAAAGTGTAGCAGAACTTGATATTAACTTATGTGTAGAATTATTCATCTTACCCTCGTTCAACAGAACTATGTCTACTGTTTTTTTTGCAGGAATTTCGAGGATTTGCAAACACTCGCAGAATAATGGCGTGTCGGAACACAAATCGGAACGACTTTCTAGAGTACAAACTAACTCTTTTGGAGTGTTTTCTTCTTGCGACAAAATTGGCGATGATGGGTATTTAAATGTCATTCCTCCGATTTGGGGAATATTTGCCCCCTCTGCTGATATACCTGAAAAAGAAAATGGCATTAAAAAATAGCGTCTAACCGGTAATCCCACTTTTGAATAAAAATACGTAGTTATTCTTCGTACGACGCGCACACATGGTTTTTCTACAATTCTGTTCAAATTAAAATATACAAACCTATATTATTTTTTACACATTAGAATTAACTGAAATGTATGACTATTTTTCATTCGCCGTACATATCATTTTAACTATTTAAATATAAGGATTCTTACTTAAGTACGACGGATAATTAACGATCTCGTAGATTTTGAAATTGTAGTCGGTCATGTCATCGGTGAAATCGTTGAAATGATTAACGTCGAAAGAGACGTAGAAGGTTTCCTGTGCTTCATCCTGAGCTTCTTCGTGAGCAACTTTCATATCATGTGCACATATAACATTTTTAAATAACCTATGACAGTCAAAACCGTGCTCTAAGGTCGCAAGTTGTTCCTGAGAGAAGTACATTCGCTGATCATTAATTGTACTCAAATTTCTTAGATGACTACCATAGGTAAAATGATTATGGTAAAATAATCCTTCACAACTTTGGAGCCCCTGGATGAGCATTAAGTATTTCCCTGGAGGTTGATTTGTTTCCACGATGACATCGAATCTTTCACCTGAAAATAGTATTATTACTAAAATCTCACAATATCATCTGTAATTGAAAATCTGTTACGTTGCAGACTTTTACGGCTTATTAATGTCAAATCTGTTGCCCTATGATTTAAGTATTACCCGATCTTACGGAACGGTGAACAAAAAATTACATAATAAAAAGTAATCTATTTCGTATTAAATGATTTGGGTGGAAATGAAAATCGTAAAATAAATAAACGACCAGTAGAGATTTAAAGAACGCTAAACATTTTATTGAACAAAAGTGTACAAAGTTTAACGTATCTCCAAAAGGCTTACATAAAAAATGCATAAATGCACAAGAAGACTATTGATACTTCCACGAGGAAATGTTTCAGCGATCTTTGAAAACGTGGCACGAATCTCTTTTAGTTACAGGTCACTAATAAAGACACGAAAAATATTGTAAGGAAATTTGAATCGCATTATTTGTTCACAGCCCTGCCAACATGAACATTCGGTAAATTGTCTCTATACAGAGTATAACAGAACTCGTGGTCACAATTTATACAGCACTATAATTGTTGAAAATGGAGTCAAAAGTCCTGTACCATTTTTCCCTACAGTGCAAATATTTTCTGTAATAACAAATTGAAGCACAGCCAATCAATCGCGAACTTCATTGTAGGAAAGAATAGTACAGGACTTTTCGATTCCATTTTCAACAAGGACAGCGCTATATAAACCGTAACTACGAATTCTGTTACACATGTTACAATATGTAATGTGCCAAAGCCTTCCTTTTACATAATAATATGAAAATTAGACAATTCATACATTGTGTGCTTTGGAAAAAATTGGTAATTTATCCGGAAAGCTAAAACGAAATAATAATGGATCACAATTAGCAAAATTTTACAGCACCCTCTGCAACGTTTCCATGATTGTCGCAAGGCGACTATTGTATTTAATACATACTAACAAGACAACCTATCCACAAAATCGCTCATTCCAAGTTTCTCTTTGTTTCCATTCATACTCGCTGGCGTACAAAATAAGAGAAAATTGCCAAAACAATCATCTCACTACAAAACATTAATTATGCGTTCGTAAAACTCTTCATTGTATAATTTATTCACACTGCTTAATAATTCAACGTTAATATTAAAATCGATACACTACATCGCAGTTATTATCATCACAAAACAACTACAAAAGTAAGAGAATAAAACTGCAAATCGGCGCATTTAAATAGCAGCACTGCGGAGGATAATGAAATTATATTAAGTAAAGTCGGTGGTACCTCGTAAATAATTCGTTAGCACAAGTCTCTATTAATAGCTATTCAACTATGACATTTGATCTTACACGAGTGTTCATTTAACAAACGTAAAAACTTTCATCAACATCAATACAGAAGAAACAATACATGATCAGTGCGATTAATATTAACCAAGAGTATCTAAATTGTCCTTCAGTAACGAATAACCGACAGACTGGCAAAATCCAATACACTAATAACAAGGTCTCAGACATTTTTGCTCCAATAACAGCCCTCATTGTTATCACCTCCCCCTTACAGAGACAGATTGAATATAATGAATATCACCGCAATCCAACTCTATGAACAAAATAAAAAAAAAAAAATCTTCCTAACAGACATTCCAATCGCACATGCCAAAACAATTGGCAATATTAAATAGACCTTTTTTTTTAATGCCAACAGGTTACTTTAAAATGTCATGTATGCTATACTTAACGGTACTCTTTAAATCAATATGAATCCTTCGATTTCGCCGGTACTGACTACATAAAAACACAAAAGATAAGAATCTAACCAGAATTCAATTTTGAACGAAACACAATAACACTTGAATTTCTTTGCCCTGCAAAATGAGAACGAGACTAAAATGCATAACTGAAGGAGATTATTTATAAAAGAGGATCATAAATAATTTCTTTTATGCAATTCGTTTGATTAAAAATGGGGCAAGTACATACAATTTTGAAAACAACGAATCGAACGGTACCTTAGGGATGCTATTAAGGAGCAGAAATGTTACAGTCCTATTAACAATTCTTAAGATTAAAACGAGTATATAAAAGTAATGATTCCTTCTAAACAGAAGACTTCTTATTTAAACAGACTTCAAAACGCAAGGGCTTCTCGACATACATGTAAAGTTTGGAAACGATTCCTTCGATTTTAACCTTCCGCGGTCAGAGTTGTTCCTTAATCCTTTCGCTCTTAACGCCGTAGCACAAAGTCTATCAGTTAGATGGTGTATCAGAATTCTTTTTTACCGACGTCAATTCAATTTCTTGGCGCCGTTCATATCACCTCAACGGAGAAACTGAGATCGATCGAAGTAATATATAGAAGTACTCAATTAATGATTTCCGTATTTACAATTTCCCAACGAATATAACGATTATGAGCCGACTTAAACATTACCGATTACATCTCAACACTTCCTCTTTGTGAAAAATAGCCTGTCTACTTTAGATTAAGTGTTAACTACGTATTTTTTTTTTCTCATTTAAAGCTCTGAATAGAATCCCGGTAAATGTGTACGTATAACACTCGACCTGTCCGTAAAAAACATACTCAAGCACGCACATTTATACGACATTTTTGATTGTTAAGTATTTCCACCATTGTGCAAATCCATTCGTTCTACGGCATTGATTATCAAAACGTCCTTTGGAACTCGACAAGAGCGCAGTTCAATGATTTTTAAATTAAACCCACTTTACAAACGAAAACCTACATTTGAATTGTCAGTACGTTTTGTAATATAGTGCCCCTCGTTTATATAATATTGAGGAATTACGAAATGTCTAGTTAATGAAATGGTTTAATTTCTGCACGAATTTAAGAATCGGATATAAATGATAAACCGAAAAGAGCATATTTCTGTTCTTATAAAATCACAGGGAACTCGAATCATTACATTGTATCTTTAAAACGGCGGGTCTGTTTCTAACATGTTTTTTAATGTTGACTTCATTCTTTCCACCAGCCTGTGTACAAAAGTACTTTGTGATGAAAACAGTATTTAAAAAAAAAAAAAACTGATACCGGATCAATAAATGATAATTGAACTTCGTTCAATGGCCACTGAACTGTGTTCAATGATAAGCAGTCTTTCGTTGTTCTTGAGTCGTTCTTATTTACCATATTCTACCTGAATCCTGACTTGCAAAAAAGACTCTTCTAAAAAAAAATACTACTAACCAAAAAGTAGCAAAACCATGAGTAATACGTTTCTATTCACTGTTAATATTCCATATAAATTTTAGATCTGCAGTATCCATAAACTTTTTTTGAATGGAATAAAAATGAAAATGCATTATAATCATAAAAATAATGTAGAAACCTATATGAAAAATATAAGTTGAAAAATACTATTCTATCTTTCGAGTACCATTTTAGATTATTCTTATATTCGTTTTTTTGACATTACGGGTATGTATATTTGACAAATTTTAAATACTGCAACAATTAAGTCAACCGTTTTCGAAGCCTACCTATCGAGTAATTCGAGAATATTTTTGTTCTATAAAAGTTATCCTGTGTATTGTCACGAAAAACTGTCTCTTTTCAACTTTGAACCCTTTCACCTCTGACTTTCTTATTTATATACATTTTTATCAATCCTTCACCTAGACAAATTTCAGATACTGTGATCATTTTACAAGATTCTGCAAGTAGTTACAGTATTATCTTCATCATTCATTAGTATGGTAAATGATAACATGACTAATTCTCTCAAAATCATGTTTGAATACGATAATCAGACAAAAATATAAAGAATTGTGCAGTTCTCATTTTCGTTTGTTCTCCTAATATTATAATAAATTTTCAATGCTCTAGAGTCACTTTGTGAAATCCTTTGGAACAGAATGCATTGGACAATTTTTGTTCATTCACTTTGGACATATGTATCCACAACCACATTTGCTTACAAGGACGATTCTGTCAAACAGAAACATTTCACCCTTCTGTAACATATTTTCTACCGCGGTAGCGCCCTTCGTTGTATATGAACAGAATAAGAATTAACGGCGAGTTTGAGCATATGCTCCGATTTCTGCTTCAAAGAGAATTTGATTGATTCTTAGTTTAGCCACTGCTCTTGAGTAAGAGTCTGGAATCTCAGCAAGTTGCACAGCTACGCTTTCACCAAATTTTAAAAATTCTTCTTTAGTCTTTGTGCGATCTGGTGATTCTGAATCTAATGTCATCTGTCCGCTTTCGTCCAATCCTAGGAAACTATTGTGTTCCATTAGTTGGCTGTTGAAGTGATCTGTCACCTGGCCGTTGAAGCGTTCCACTTTCAAGGAAGACGAGGATTCTTCTGCATCTTCACTGAGCGAAGCATTAAATGATTCAGTTATAGATCCATTTGTTTCATCACTGCACTCAACGAATGCTATGCTCTCAGGGTCTATGTCACTGACGATATACTCTTCTTTCAGGTCATCTTCTTTCTGCAAAAATGATATCGTTAAAATGGTTGAAACATTAGTTACCAATAATAAATGTAAGTCTACTGTAATATGGCATGCCTTAGGACATTAGAAATTATTATATCCAGTATTTATCAAAGTAACGCAAAAGTTGGTTTATGAATTGACTTTGACACAGTATAACATCCCAGTATACTAAGGAAATTCACTGAATGATACGAAATTTTAATGTATAAAATGTATTGTGTGATAAATATTAAAGGTATCTAAGTAACGTTTTGAATCTAAAAATTATACTTCCTCAAAAGATATACAAACTAATACACATATATCTCAAATTAAGTATAATGTTAACAAAATGATGTTAGATGAAACGACCGTATACTTTTGCAAGACTCAAAGCTAGACCTTGAGTCAAAAATAAAATCTTGAAGATCTATTTCCAGGATCTCGGCATAAAAGTATCTGATATCCGAAAACTATTTCATGAATTTACAATGAGATTTAACCTTGGCAATTAGAATAATAATTTATTGCTATTTAATTCAACAAAAACATATTGGTCGACATTTAATACTACTGTCCAAGCAATACTGTCAAAAGTTGAGTTCAAAATACAACTCTGTAAACCAACTTTTCAGTGATTTAAAAAATTCCATGGCAAAATCGAGGACCTTGGAGATTAAGAGCATTCCGAATGATCAATGACAACCTTTCGTTAACACGATGAAAGTAAAAAGTTAATATTTTAAACACAATCGTTATTATTAAAACAGAAAACGAACTTTATTCGAAAACAGCATCAAATCTTAATCCTTAGTTTATATCACCGTTTTCGATCGATGCAGCTCATATTCATGGTTCGTTTGCATCCTAGATTTATTAATTAAAAAAAAATTCTACAAATGAGATGAATTTGTCCAAAAATATTCATTAAGCCTTCCTGATTAGGGAACACTAGGTAAGAGAAGGAAAACCAACATTTAAGTAATCGTTTAAAGAAATTAAAGTAAAACGAATCTTTGGGGATATTACAGATAACAGATTTCGGCCGGATACGAAAACCTCAACGACATAAGCGACATAAACGGTAAAACGGCAATAACTGTCTAGATAGGTTAATAATCGAAATCCCGGCGCGAAGAGTCGCGAGGCGCACGTGAGTCTCCAGAGACAAAGGCCGGTCGGCTGCGGCATCGGCGTACATACCTTAATCCTCCTTCGTTGCAAAGATCACGAAACCTTGAAACTGAACTAAGGTGTCAGCAAAATAGTCCATGCCAAAACAAGCCGGTAATAGCGTAAGACCAAGCAACGAACCAACCTTAACCTTCCTCTTGCAGTACTTGCGCGTGCCGAACTGCAGGAACTGCATGGCCTTGAAGGCGAACCACTTGGAGACATAGACGTCGTCGGGCACGGTGGCGACGTTCTTGCTGTTCTGGATCTTGTGGACCTCGCGGGAATACTGGCACTTTAGGTTGGTGATCTTCTTCTCTACCTCGAGGGTGTTGCAGCCAATGATGTCGGCGAGCTCCTGGATGGCGCGCTTGCGGCGCGCGCGGTCGCGGTACCCACGGGCGTTCCAGTCCCAGAGGACGCGCCGCTGTTGGTACTCCCTGAGCAGCTCCAGCGTCTTGTCGCGGGTCCACTCCATGCCCCCGGTGCCCTTGGCAGGCCTGGCCCCTGCCTCGTCAGCCGCCAGTGCGATCCCGACCGGGCCGCGAGTTCACTGGGCGCACCGGCCGTTCATGCGTCGCCGCCGGGACCGGCCGAAACCGCCGGAGGGTCCGCGACGCTCGCGGCGCTCACCCGGCTCGCACCGTCAACGTGGGAACAATGTGCCGCGCAACGTGCACGCGAGTCCGACGCCGCGCGCCGGCACCTCCGCCCCGAGGGATCCTCTAACGAGGACAGGGCGACACCACGCTCGCGATTTACACCCGATTTACCCGGAGACCCGCTCTTAATGATTTTTCGCCTAGGTGCAACCCCGGTTATCCGCCTTTCCTTCGCTTTTTTCCCGACCACCTCCCCTCCGCGTGAGCGCGCCGCGCGGCCACCGGCGCCGGCGGCGCCCGATCGCGCACGAAGATCCGCGAACGGGCCGCGGAGTGGGACCAAGGTTATATAAGGGGCAGACGCCCGCTCGGACGTGGCCCCGCCGAGTCGTATGGAGTCGCGGTCTCTCTGGGCGCCGGACACGTGGGTCATGTGCATGAATGGAGCGGTGGGACTGGCGACTCGGGCGGGAACGACCGCTGTTTTCTTTCAATATTTAAGGTGAAGTGAAACCCCCTTCAAATCAGTCGATTCGAATGCAACACTTTTTTTTAAGGGTATAGACTAAAATGCCCTCCTAGAAACCGATTTCAGTGGCAATGCTTCCACTTTTTTTTTTAATTGCCTAGTTGATTAACAGTGTCTACTCTCGCAATTGCAGAGCTTAAAATACCCCGTACATTCAGCAGAGTGAAATGCAAGGTTTTGAGACTTTCAATTTAAGTATGCGCAAATTCATTCATATAATTAAATAATACACCTTATGGTGTCATTTTCAACGTATCTGTCAAACATGTTTCAAAGTGTTTAAAATACGTTATCAATGACATAGTAAAGTTTCTTCTAATGTGCATATGCTGCACTGAACTATGTACTTACAAAACATTCGAACGAAATTGTTGTTAAAGAGATGTACTTACGGAGTATCATTTAAATGAGTAAATTTGATTCCCACTTAACGTTTACTATTTGAGCAAACTTATACAAATATAGTTATAGAAAGAAACATAACTAATACAATTTCTGTTTTTTGTCTTTTTTTTTAACTGTGCGATACGAAAATGAGTAAACAGAGTACCAAGAGAGAGTCGTAAACAAACATCAAGGATGAACCTGCGTAAGCAGTTTGACTCACATAAAATGTGTCTTTAACACTCTACGTTTAAATGGACGAAAGAGTGTAAAGTGCAGTACTTACTGGATTTATGGTAGCCAGAAGAACGGTTAACTTATTTTTATGGAAGACATCTATATTTTCATTTTCCACTGGCTTATACTTCACCGGAACTACGATGAGTAGCAGTTCCGGTTATAAGAATTCTCACAAATTGTTTGTTTTATTTAATTAATTGTATGTAATACATACATTTCAGGAAAAGGATAGTCAACATTATTGAATGAATTGCAGTCATTTAATGTGTTAAATTAATTTTGCGTAATTTTGTCAACATACGTTACACAGAGAAAAACGATTAGTTGACTAAAACAAATATATATATTTTCAAGAAAGAGACTTTCAAGAACGTTAATGTTTTGCTTTTAAATTCTCCCTCCTTCTTCATTAATTTTATGCATGAACTAAACGTTTTATTACCCTTATTAACTAATAGTTATTAAATACATACCTGGAAACATAATCACATGAGATGCTGAGGTAATTTTTTGCAAAGGACTGGCATCGATGGCAACAACTTCAAGGTGATGTTTTGCAATGGAGAACGATATCGGACAGTTGAAAACATTTGCATTAATGAGACGTAACTTGTAACGCCTTCCACTATTTAGTACTGTTTCTTTGTCACCGGTCTGAAACCATAGATATTTTCAATAATTCAACTAAAATTAATTTCCATTAATAAAATGTTACAGATTCTCGTTGTGTGTGTTTTTTTAGCGGCTTTCATTATAAATCGTATTTAAAAATTAGGATAACGCAATTATTTATATTTATTCTAACGTATGCATCTAATAATGCTTTTAGAAAATAATGTGACGTTAAGAATGAACATAAGCATGACGGAGTATTGCGAGCATTAATAATTTATATCACCTGGCCATTTACGAGTAGTTCGATCGGTTGTGGGTTCAGAATGGAAAAGTGTGTCAGTGGTGTCGATGATCTCGCAGAAAACATTAGAGTTTTCTCTAGAGATGGGTTGTCATCTGGTTTGCGAACAACTAACGAGCCGTACAATCCATCGCCTTGTTGCGGAGCTAGCCATTTCAGTTAAACAAAAAAATTACAAATTTAAATTTCACATCGTCATAACATTTCAACTGAATTAATTATTATGATATATATTGTCATGACACGTTGCAGTTTATGCATTTACATTTTATTCATCTCTTTCCAGTACGTAAAATTTAATTTTGACTTTATTTTCATATAATATTAAACTGCAGTATTTATATAAAAATATTCACTGAGATTTTTAATTCTAGAAAGACTAATTAGTCTATATCAAGATGTAGCATGTTAATAAATAATTTGCGTTAATACCTGCGTGGGCATAATAGAAGTATGTTCCAGGAGTTTCTAGCTTCATGGCGTATCGAAAAGCACTATATGGTAAAATCGGACATTGAGTTATCATAGCCACCCCATCCATATGAGTTGACCCTTTTTGTATAATGCCGTGCCAGTGAAAAGATACCTCCATTGCTTTCAATTTATTATAAACGAAAATTTCAACCGTGTCGCCAAGGCACACCTATAAAATAAAAAATATTCTGTGCAAGGATCAAAATTAGAACATTTGTAAATGACAACTTATCAAATAAGAACCAGTCATTACCTCTATCGCTGGACCAGGACTTCTTCCGTTAATGACCAGATTACTTTTATCACTAAACATTTCGGAACACGTTGTATTTTGTCCATTTTTCACGTCGGCTAAATTACTACAAGACCTAAAATTAGAATACAAAAGGGAATTCGGTTTTTATACATTTTCAAATTTATCTAGAAACTGTAATTTTACGTGCGTACTAGATGAATATTCTATGGTGATTCCATATATTAAAAATATTAATACTGAATGTTCATGGAATAATTATATGCATGCAACTGTATAGTACAGCTATGCTGTAAAAATCGTACAAAAAAAGCACATTAAACTTAAGTTATCAACATATTTTCCTGAAAAAATGTATCAAAAAATGTACACTAATACCAAAAATATCGGCACTCGAACCGAAAACCGAACAAATGTACACTGGGAGACGTCAATGCCCTCCCATCCTGCACAGGCGATGCCGTATCTGCAGGGGAGGCATTCATGTCCGCCATTGTACACTGGGAGATATCAATGCCCTCCTATCCTGCACAGGCGATGCCGTATCTGCAGGGGAGGCATTCATGTCCGCCACTGTACTATATTTCGAAATATACCATTTCTACAGGAAAATTCGTACAAAAGTATTAGCAGGTACATAAAAGATTTCGAAATTTAGTACATATGTTCTTTGAAATTTTCTATACTTGTATATTAAAATCCCAAAGACAATTGTACACGAAATTTCGAAGTATTACACTTTGAAAAAACTTCGACTATACGTATGTAATTCGAAGAGATATTTTTAACAATGTGTGTACTTTCATTCGACATGACTGTAGCACAGTAAAGTATTGCAATCCCGTACCGAAACCTGTTGTGATGGGAAAAAATGAACCTGCGGTACTTACGTACACCGTTACTCGATGAACTTGAAGCGTTTCTTTAGACTTAATGTGTACACAGAAGTAATAAAAACTCCTTGGACAATTTCCTGGTTCAAAACTAAATGTCTTCTTCCTTTTCTTTACGTAACCTTGCGCTTACGTGACGAATTTGAGAAAGTGGACTTTTACAGAGTTTAGTTCCGTTGTCACAATAACTTGTATTGGTTTCATATTCAAACTTACGTAGTTACAAATTCGGAAACAATTTTTTTTTTTAACAGATAGTCCAAGTTTCTCGTTAATAGTACCCAAGTGCTCCAAGAAAATAAATTAAATGATGTAATTCTCTAACAAGTACATTTCGTAACTATTTACTATTTACAGTATATATATAAATTTTATAAAATTACTGTATTGTTCTTTCTTTCGACTCGATCAGACAATCGTTAGACAGAAATCCAACTGTAACTTGGTACGTCGAATCCATATTATATTTTTAAGATTACGGAAAAAAAAAAAAACTAATCCCACAATGAGATTGCTAATTACCTATTCTACTTATTTTCACATACCTGGCTGTTACCGGTACTTCTTCAACGAAGAAACTATAGCTGCACCTCTTTGGACCCGTTCCGGAAGTGCAAGGCCGTGAACAGTTGTGCTTCTCAAGACCTGATAATTTTTTAACATTATTCTACAGAGCATCTGCGTCGCCAATTTACACTTCTGATGATAGGATGCGTTACAACGATAATGTACTTAAAAACGACACCACTGATTACGGTAAAAATTCCAAACAGATATTCATAAACTCCTAGCTCATTATTTAGTTCCTCCAGAAACAATTGGATAGATCACTTTTAACTCGGTTAATATTTCTGTCTTTGACTTTAGTCAGGTAATCAATTATTCATTATATCTTACAGAATCTAGTAGATCACATATAACAGAGATGTAAGTAAAGCTAGGCTTCATTTGAGGCTATACATTTTCATTCTAATAATGACTGAATCTTTACGGAGGAATTAAATTGTCTAAATCCAATCTTTACCATATTCGATGGATGAAACGCTTGTGATAAAAATGACGGTGAGACCGGCGATGATTTCACCTCGTAGCCGTGGCATGATGACCCAGTATCACTGGGCCACGACTGAGAAATTCTCTTCTCATCAGGACAGGTAGACCGGCGATCTCGCGATCGTGAAACCAGAAAGAGCACTGACGCCACTTGCTTCGCGCGCGACCGTTTACCCGAAAGCAATGCCCGAGAATCGGTGAAAGCAAGGTATAGGAGCAGTCCCACCTTAATGCAAGCAATGCCGTGTAGGTCCTACGTAACCTACGAGAGAACGGAGTGGTACATAATAATAGTTTACACAAAGATGCAGATGAAACGCTATTACGCCGAGCGTAACAGTTAAGTGTGTCAGTAAGACGTCATTGCGCAATGAACGTAGAAATTAAGTTTTTGTATGAATACTCAATAAATATCTACATTAGAGACGAACATTCTGAGGTATAGACGCAGGTTAACAAAAATGCGGAAGGGTTGTGTCATCTTGACACGACTTCTAATTTTAATACTTTATCGACCGGAAGCCTATTAATCGGTTTTGCGATACTCGTGATCGTCATTTACTTCCAAATTCGCCGGTCGGTAGTGTTAACATATATGTACGTCGAATTACGCCTTAGTGAAATAATAAAATGCATCAACGGCTGAGCGTTCGCGCTCGCATTTTTTTTTTTTTTTAATCGATGATTTTGATTCCAGCTTTTATTCCCGAGAAAGTTTCAGTACTTCTTAAATCGTCGCTGTAGTACAATGAACTTTTTGCTTTGAAATCTGAAAATGTACGTCTTTCTTAACAATAATAGTGGTAATTAGTATTTGCATACCCTATTTTTATTGAAATAAGTCGTACACATTTCTCTAAGAAAACGAATTTCAAAGATTGGTCTTATTCGATATGTACAAGCCGGTTTATTTCGCATCAACTTTTTCTATCTTACACAATACTTTAAAGTCAATGACTGGCAAGACTGACTTGCACATCACCGTTTCTATTTATAATAAAAATATTATTCTACCTTTACACTGCTATCGTACTTAAGTTAGTTTTGTAACATTCTAAACTACAAAGGGGAAGTCCGGTTTTTGAACACGAGTACCTTTTTGCGTTTCTGCATCGATCGACACCACAAAGAATTTGCTGAGGCGCATCATTTCTGGAAATACAAATAATTAAACTTATCAATAATTCCGCAAAACATTACAATATTTATAACAAATACATAAACCAGATTATGCTTACTCAGTGGCCGATTGAAGAGGAAATTGCTCTCCCGGTGGAAGAGATATGGAACTACCTTCGATAGTTACACGGTAAGTGATTAATGGAACTTGCCGTCGAGATGGTTTTCCTTTACTTGTCACTTTAGAAGCTTTAGATTCTTGCTTCTTCAACAATCTCTCCATTGTCTTTTTCTGAAGCAGAAACGTAATTCGTATATATATATAAAATCTCTTTTATAAAATCTCAAGAGGATTCCTTCAGTAACTTTTGAAAATATTAGCATTTGATATGCCGATATACTTAAAAAATTAAATTTGAAATTTTTACTTCGAAATCATATTGTTTATCCAGAATGAAAAAATATATACAAATGACCATATAACAATTGATATTTGGAAACTTAACGAATACCTTGTCTTTTTCTCTTTTTTCATCAGCAAGCTGTTTACGTTTTAATGATTTTAAAGCAGCTTTTTGAATAGCTTCTGCTGTCATAACTTTCTCCTTATACCCAGTTGGCAATGACATCAATTGTTCCACGCCAGGATTAGGCTCTGTGTCAGTTTTTCGTTCAAACATTGCCCTCTGACGCGCAGTCATTAATTTTGGATCCTTTGGTTTTATTTTCTTTAACTCATCATCTACCTGTAATGAATTAACATTAGTTTACTTAAAAGAAAAATAGTTTTACAAGAAAATGTCGAACATTGAAGATACCTCCTCCAACTTTCCAGATTCAATTGCATCAAGCCAGCGTTCCTCTTCGCTACTTGTGCCGCTATCTTTGCCCTTGCCAGTTTTTGTTAACTTTTTTTTAGTACTGGCTTTAGGAGATGTTGCAGTGCTCGGACCGGCAGTACCTAAGGTTGAAACTTTGACTAGCTTGTCACGCATTTTGTCCAAACTGCTGTTAAACATCGTGAAACATTAACATTACATATTCACACTTAGAAATAAATAAAATACAATAATGCTAACTTAACACAAGGGTATCATATTACAAAAGAATTGGCCACCAACCTTCTCTCTTCCTCTCTTTTCAATTTGACTTTGAAAGACTGTTTCTTTTCCAAATCTGCACCAACATCCATGAACCTATCACTGTCTTCATACGCAACTTTTTTCTTTTTATGCTTTTTATGCTTGTGCTTCTTGTGTCTCTTTTGTGGCGATAATTCATTCATATCTGGAAATCATAAAACCATGTAAATCTTATGTACATCAAACAATCAATGTTTTCCTCCATTGTCAAATACAGATTTCATACACATATAGGTTATTTCATTGTTATCATTGTTCAAGCTAGTCTGCAATTTAAATTATTGCTCTATTTAAAATTTATAATTGCTTAATTAATACAGGCCCTTGTATACTGCTCTTTATGAAAATAAGTAAATATAAATATAAGTATAACATAAGCTAACCTCAATTCAGAGACTGTCACCGTACGATAATTACACAAATCATAAAGATTTAGTAAATACTCACCCATTTTTATATCTTCGTCGGAACTCCCCTCTTTCAACTTCTCCATTTTATCAAAGAATAAGTCAAGCATGCGTAAACACACATTAGTAAATACTAGGTCGTAAAAATACATGGACGGAGCATGAACGTAAGAATATATGGACGGAGTCCAGAGTTCCATTTCAGACCAAGGGGGGAAGCCGGTGCGTCGAGCAGGGAGAGGGTAGGATAGCCATATTGTTGTGCCAATTTTTTCAGCCTCCTGATTGGTAGGTCACCTGCTTCATATTTCCTAATTGTTCTAACCAGAGATCATCTCTGATAAAATAAATAAGGTGAGTGAAGGGTAAAGTCAAAGAGGGCGCCACGAGTGTTCTTCCCTTACCATCAAAAGCGAGCGGTATCGGGAAGCGTAGGTAAGCCACCACCGTCACAGCCGCATGGTATTACCATCACGAGTACGTGAGCCGCCAACGGCGACTGGTAGATGGCACCGCCATCGCGAGTGTGTGAGCCCCTACCAGAAATTCGTTGCGCCGCCCTTAGGGGCAAAAAACGGTGAAAGCAAGATTAAAGCAAGATTGTTTCAGTAAGTATAAAATGTATACTCAGAAATATGGAACTATTTGATGACATGCATCTCATAATCAATTAAAAATCGTGGAAAGCGTCCTTTTAGAGATAACAATTATAAACAGGTGAAAGTAGTGTTAAAGAGAAATTATGTCAAAACAAATACGAAAATGTTCACAAAAATTCTCTGGAGAAGGACAATAAATTCTCGTAGTAATTTATCTTTGGTAAGGTTATCTGCTCCAAAATATAAAATGTTTTTGATTCTAATATTAAAGTTTAAAATAGACAGGTTGGATGATGATAGTTCACAGCATGAGTTATCGCGGTTCCGTGGTGTAGCGGTTATCACGTCTGCTTTACACGCAGAAGGTCGCCAGTTCGATCCCGGCCGGAACCAGCGAATTTTTGCTCAATTTTTTTCTTTAACTTTCCTCTGCGCATTTCCCTAAATCCTCTCTATCCGACAATACCACTCTTACCATTGTATCCATTTCGTTCAATTGAACTCGCATCGATCCTTCATTCATGAACATACACTTGATTAAAAGTAACAATTTAATTTGAAGGCATTATTTTATTCCATGCTTTAATCTACATTAAAATTCTAAAATTCATTTCAACCGAAGAATTTATATTAACCGCTACATTTTCAACAAGAATTTCATTATCGCGGATGACGAACGTAGCGCATCGATTTTTCTATGGATTCCGACCAAATTCACGTCATTTTATACGCGATTGCATCTCGATATCTCGAATTCATCCGCGAATCACAAAAGGATCTTGAAAGACTTCGGCCGGGGGCGACCACTTTTATTCCCATGAAAGAGTCAAAAGCCATAAATAAAAACAGCGCTGACGCGCCGACTGGCAGGGATTCCGAGGGGGTCCATCATATAGCGGCTGATGGCCCTGAAAAATAAGCGAAAAGGAGGAGCGGACCGAGGAGGGGAGGAAGGAGCGAGCTGCAGGAAACTGAAATTGATATTCCCCTCGCGCAGTCACATTCATCTTGTTACGTCCCGGCAGTTACTCCCAGTCCGCAACAAACTGCACGCTTCTTTCGCGAGGTCCCATTCACTGTTTCTTGACCATCTGGCTTTCCACCTGCGTATCTCCGCGAGCCGGTCCAACTGTTCCTCTTCTTTCGAACTTTAGCGAGAGCATGACTCCTCTCTTTGCGATCACATCCCCCGAGGCTGGTAACCGCTCGTTCATACATATCTAGAAACTGGTATACGAGGTACATACGTACAAGAAAGTAGACACATGGGTAGACGTACCTAGGGACATTCCGCCATCTTGCTTCCACAGGTGTAGTTCTCGGTATCAGAGATGAGCGGGGAGATGTTTCACGCCATTTTTTGAAAGGGAGGCACGACCCCCTGGCGCCCTCTACGACCTTACACCTCTGTAAAAATTGGAACTACTGTCGAAGAGGCGAAATCTTCGTGATCGGTAAAACAGGGTATACGTGGGGGCCGCGTATTAATCTCAATCATCTACGCGTAACAACTTTATTTCGTATTCATAGTCTTTTTTCCCGACCTACGTTGACCCTGATGGTAAAAACGAAAAGGCGATAACTTCATTCTATCGATACTTGATATGAAATTTGCAGACGTGTTTTTCTTTGCCGATAGAGAACATTTCGCCCCTTGAAAGCAGTTCCACGGTACTAGGGAGCCGTGCCTCCCTTTCGACATGGCGTGAAATATCTCCCCGCTTATCTCTGTTGTTATACACATGCCTTGTATGTAGGCCTAAGTGTAGGACGTTAATACATTGCAGAAATCAGTTGTTTTCGGTTAAACGTTGCACGTTTTTTTAAATTGCCCCAGAATTATGGTAGACCAAAAATTTGCCCCAAATAGCGTATTTCCCGCTTAACGTTTTTGACCATTTGCTACCTGCATAGGAGAAACCTGTATGTGCTTAAGAGTTTCTTCGAAGTTTTACGGTAAATCGTGAAGATTAATCGCTTCTTGGAATTCCGTAAGGAGTACGAAAGAATCCCGGGCTAGCTAGATACGTTGTATCCATTTATTCGGATGCAATTTTCTCGAGAAAATCGACAACCCGTCCTCGACGTCACAAAGGGCTGGGGGGGAAATGTATTCCCGCCAGAGAGCGGTAATCATTAATATTTATTAACGTTACGCTTTGACCGTAATTTGTTACTTCTCGTTCGCTCGAGGAGGAAGGAGCTGCTCCCGGTTCCGCGACCAACCGGTTGAACAAAACCGAGAAAGAGGTACGGTAGGTGGGTCAAGTGCCACGAGAATACTTTAAGAACACCTCGGTGAAGAGCCCTCGAAAACCTCATCTCCCCAGGTGGAGGAGGAGGCGAGAAGTATCCGGCCGCACCCGGACACGGTGCAGCCCGGGGGATGCCGTCGAGGAGATATCCCGTCTTTGATGGAACCAAGATGGCGGCCAATAAAGGAAAATCGTCCAAGTGGCCGCCATCTTTGTGCCGGGCAAAGTGGCCGTCTGTGGTGGAAGTCGACGCCCTCGCGATCGCAAAACCCCACGTGGGAAAGAAATTTCCCCGTCCATTTTCCCCAACTCGGAGAAATGTTGCTCTTACCTGGAAAATAAATTCCCGCGCGAAACTGCAGCTTCCCTTCTTTCTCTTTCTCTTTCCCTCTGACGGGAACCAGTTCGCTCGTGAGACTCTTTTAAGCCTCTTTTGCGCCGAAGGTGGGCCAAAAGGAATGGCGAAGCTTTATTTTTCGCCGACGCGAACGACAGCTGCAACCATGCCGAGTAAATTTGAATTTTAACGGCCAATCGGATTAAAGATATGCACTAGGTTCGACGCGGGAACAACAGATGGCGCTCCGGTTCCGCGTTTCGTTTCGTAAGACTCCGCTTCGATCGGGTGAGAGGTGGTGTTGCTGTTATTTATTGCTGCCGGAACGAGGCGCCATTGGCTATGCGTCGATCTCGCGGAAATTCGTGACAACGACCATGTTGAGCCGCGGACGATGCAAATTCTATCCGGAATGTGGAAATTGCCGGATAGGTGAGTCACTCTGTACCGCACATGTGAGATCCTTTGTAATTAGCTCAATGATGACATTACCTTCATTCGGCAGCTACGAAATATAATAAACACATACAATTCATGAAATTTCATTTTTTATAAAAAAAAATGTTTCAAATGTATATAAACAAATTAAAAAAAAAAAATTGAAATTTCATGGGTGTCGGGACCTTTTTATAGTCTTTATATTAACATTAAAATGTTTGAAATGATTCGGTACACTCAGTTCGAATAAAAGTATTATAAACGAGACTTCTTTGATGCCACTTTTACATTACCTTAACATGTGTCATTAAACCTCATCAAGTAGTTTAGATTAGGATATCGACTCAGTCTTCGTCAAGAGTACCTAGGCATTTGTAGAGAGAATCACGATCTTGTTTATTTCTTCGATGTCTTTATTTGAAGTTCTCATTAACCCCGTTTGTAGGTTTCCGGTCCTGCCTGGAACATGGCCCGGAAGAAGCTCGCAGGAAGGTACTGGAAGGAAAATTTCGAGTTGCCTGTGGAACCGGCGCGTTGCATCCGTAGCTGCAGTCCTGCCGGGAGGAGTGAAAAATCGATCCTTGCTGCACCGGGACCGATCGTTGCCGAACTTACCCGAAGTCGCGCTCAGCTGACCCGAGCCTGGACGAGTCCCGAACGAGTCCTGGGAGGGATAGGTCCGGACGGAATTATACACCTTCAAGGGGAACCGCGCAAGACCAATCCCAGCTTGGTGGAGCCACCGAAATTAGGGCGAATGCATATAGATGCGCGTATCCGCTGGGTCATGGCTTAACCCGTTCGCAATGTACCGTATAACTCCGTCGTTGCATTTAAATGCATCGTTAAATGGTAGTGGATTCCAGGGATTAAGAGAGGGTATATTTCGGCCGCTTTCAATAGATCTTAGAAACTGTTTCAGCAATTAGATAAGTGTTTAAGGATTTTTAAGTAATTAGGTCGAGAATGTAGTACTGCATTTCCGCCAGGTCGTGGCGTGTCCAATCCATTTGCGATGATCTACGCAATTATTGGCCAAGCAATAGGATACTAGAAAGTGAACGTTAAGTTAATCTAAGAAATGCTTTCGCGATTAGCAGGGTTTAAGAGCTTCCAAGCGACTGTACCGAGTTGTACATAGGGCTGTATTTCTCTCTGGGTCAAGGCCTCCTTAATCCAGCGTCAAGCAGCGATTCTTATTCGTCGTGCCCTTAACCTCTTCACCTACAATATCGTGTGAGAGACGTCGTATATCAATCGGGCCAAACGTGAACAAAACGCGCGAGAGACGTGGTATGTCAATCGGGCCAAACGAAAACAAAACGTATGAGAGACGTGTAAGACTGAACGTTCAGCCAAACTGTGAAATGGCCCGATGTATGACCGACATTTTTGTTTATGACACGCGCTATTGGAATTTAAATCGTAAGGCAAGGGGTAAAAAATGAAAGGACCACGGGTCGGGTTAAACATCGGAACGTTTCATATATTTAGCTTAGTTATCTTTATTTATCTAGAGAATAAGAATTTCTTTTATATCCGAGTATTTCTCCCGGATTCGTTCAATCGGATTCGCGAGATCCAGCGGGAATTATCGTAATTTCGCGGTAATCCCCCTTTGGATTGGGCCCTGAATGCCCCAATAAGGTGGAGGCGCGCCGATCCATAGAGGTTGCTCGGTGGTGGGTTTTGTAAAAACTGGCGGGGATTAGAGCTCGGAAAAGTCATGGGGATGCACCTCGGGAACCAACCGTTTCAGATTATACATTGCCGGGACGAGTAATCCGATCACCGCCCTTCGGGATTATTTGCGCCGATTAACGTCCGTTTTGCCGTGTCGTCCTTTTGTGAGCCCGACGCCGGTTCATTCTCCCTTATGGAATATTCCTGTTTCCATTAGCCGCGATCATCGTTGAATTTACGAGGAAAGCCAACGTGAACGCGAGTTCGATTTTCTGAGCAAGGTCGCGCCTGATACAGGACATGGCCCATGAGCAAAGAACAGGGCGGCTAATGGAGCCTCGGGATAGAAATTTCTGCCAGACACGCGAAATCCTACGAGAATAGAGAATATACTTTGTCAGTTTTTCGGAAAATCACCGGGCCAGAGGTAAACCTCCGGCGAACATTTATTTCCAAGCGCTGCGTTTCGTGGGAACGATACTGGAGTAATGAGTACTAGTTTTTGTTACAGTAATCACGGTCAGGCGATCGCCCCGGAGATTCACTGTAAACGGGTTTGAAGGTGACTTTTCACCACGCGAGTTTACCAACATTGCGGCGTTTCTTGTTACCCTGCTTAAGAAAAAATGACGGGAACGAGGTTACAGGGGAGTTCTGACCACGAGCGAACATCTTTCAGCATCTTGCCTTTTGCAAGTCAAGTTAAAACGGGCGTTTATCGAAATTTCACGGAATTGTCGAAATATTTAATCGCAAAACTTCATACAAATGTCTGTTAAGTAACGAATGTTAATAATTATATCACGTACACTGAGAAGCGATAAAGTAAGCTATTAACTCTTAGACATGTTGTTTCAGTATCATGAGCCCGAACACGTGATTTCAGAGCCCAACTCAATTTTTCTACCATAAATTGCAAATAATGACTAAACTGTGTGAGCGTTAGGTCTTAACTTATAAATAATTAAAACTAGCTAAAGATATGATTTAATGATTAAAATGTTTATTTAGAAGCGAATAGCATTAATTTATCCCCCAGGATCGTCACCGATAGATATTTACATTCAACCGCCCTACAAGGAAAAAAACTACCCAAATAGATGATTTAATTAACGAAATGTGTATTCAGAAGAGAATGGTATCGCAAGTGCGGAGATCGTCCGCGAGGGGCGCCACCGGCGCGGCGGGCGGCGAGCGCAGGTGGCGCGGTGGTGGGGGTAGGTCTAGCGCGGCGGAGGGGAACCGCGTGTCTCCCGTCTCTCTCTTTAGTGCAGTTCGAGCTCGCCGAGCCGGCGGTGTGCTCGCGCGTCGCGTTCCTGGTCGCCTTCGCCGAGTCTTCCTCCTCGGGAGTTATTCGCCGTGTGCCCGCGTTTCCGAAATACCCCGCCGCAGGTACGGATGACCCTCCAACTTTTCTGCGTTACGTAATGTTATCTACTTTTCAAGATCAAGGGGCGAGATCGGTGATCGGTCCTCGCGAGAAATGGCCGACGTTTGTCGAGGTTTAAGGGCGCCTTGAGAGTAGTGAGTTCACGGAAAGCGGGGTTAATTTTCCCGAGTGTAGGACATTTGGAAATGGAAAGAAGGTCACTCGATATATTCGCCATTTCGCGGGTAGCGGGATAAATTAGCACGAAGGTAATCCGAATCCTCTTGAGTTCGATACTCCATTTTTGAAAATTCACCTTCGACGGTTATATTGTTGATCTCGAGTAACTCAAGATGGCGGCGCGAAGGACTCGACCGTTGCCACTTTGCGGGAGGTAAATCGAGTTATTTTCGCAAATCTCTGGATTCTTCTCGCGAAGTAATTGCTGCGTTTTTGGAGTACCGTCGTACCGAGCCTATATTACTCTCGAGTTAATTCCAAAGCCACGTTAGTATATCGTCATGACTGGCGAAAAATAAGTAATTTTGAGCAAGCCAAGATGGCGGATAAGAGAACCAAGGATGATTTTGATATCGTAGATTTGCGAGATATAACTCCAAGTTCCTCTCCCAATGTTTAATAACGGAGTAAATTTAGATAAATGCTTGCTACAGATTATTTTAAATTTTCTTTATGCCCGGTGTTTAATCAAATTCCTGTTTTGTGTATTTTATTGATTTTTTTTTCGCCGTTAATTATTTTTCTATCGGCCGCGGAAGGAAATCCATTGACTCGGTTTACTCGGGTCGGAGTGGCGGAGGAGCGAGTCGAGATTTGATTGGTACAACGAGCCCAATCTCGGCAATCGGATTACTCAAATCTCACTTGGTCCTATTACACTTAGTTCGTGTAAAGTAAGCGGCATAGAGCGGGCAAAGCCCGAGCAATTGGAATGACTCGCGTTGCATAATGTACAGCGGCCTCGTGAACCGCCGCAATTTATAGCCGCGTCTCCTCTCCTGGCTCGCGCTGACAAATATAGGAAAAAGAAATTCAGAAGAAACCTAACTAACGGAAAATCCACGCGCGACGATCACTAGAGAAAGGACTCGAGAAATTCTAGACATAAAAAAAAAAGGAAAAAAAAAAGAAAACAAATAACCCCTGCGTTACTAAAAGCGTTTATCGAGCATAGTTTATAGACATTATAGTTTACAGACGTTTATAGACATAAAAAAAAGGGAAAAAAAAAAAGAAAACGAATCACCTCTGCGTTACTAAAAGCGTTTATCGAAAATCCTCGAAGGCACGCGGAAGAGAGGAGCGTTTCCTTTTACCGTTTCGCCTGCGTTCGGGCATAAATTACCGGGGTCGCGAAGCAATTATGGCAGAGTCGATAAGTATTTCGAGTCACCTTATATCCATTGTCTCGTGCAATTATCGACTATCGGCTGGGTTTCGGCTTCGTGGTAAATAAACAGAGGGCTTCCACGGGGATAATGGATTCGATGAATACCCTTTTAGCTAGCTACAGGAGTTCCCAAATTCTGTCCGGAGGCCCACGTTAACCTGGCATTTAGATTAAAATCGTAGGATGATAACGATCGACCGATTTTATGCCATTGTCTACGGAATGGAGAGTCTATGGACGTATGTGCAAACGTCGGCTTCTCGTTTCGCTGCACAGATCAAAGACTCTTCTCGATTTTGGGATCCAGAGTGCAGGTTTAATTGGGAAGGGCAGTTTTGCTCGGTAAATGCGGCTTCTAATGGGAAATGGTAACGTATGTCGCGGGAAATTGCTCGATCGATCCGGGGTCACTGGGGAATTACCGGGAAACTGGAGTAAATGGGGCCGCAACTTGGGAAATATGGTTTCCTGGTCTTTTTTTATTTAACTTCGTTTGACATGGCATTTACTCTCGTGGGGGGTGCAATGCCCCTTGAGGTACAGATATAGAGAATTTGGTTCGTCGGACACGATCGAATTATGCATTTGATTGATTAAATTCGGCTCACTTAAGAAAATGTTTTGGTCGAGTCAAGCGAATTTATAATTCACTTGGCCTAACTCGTTCGCTTAGATCGATTAAGATGTTTAGGTAAATCGTTACACGTTAATTTCCGAAATTATATTTGGACGAATAAATTAAATAATTTGGTTGAACGTTCCAGGTTAATATTTGTGCCATGTTATATTTGACGTAATTAATTAGGAGCTTCGCCAATTGTCCATTTCGTGGTTGGACCAAAACAAATTTCATTACTTCAATGCTTTTGACAAAAAGAAATTCGTAAAATTAATTAAATCGATTGTCCTATTGCGATGAGGAGTCAGGCAATTTTGTTAATGTAAAAATTTAGAGATCTGCTCGGAGAGAGCCTTTTCTGGGCGGGGTTTTCAAGTATCGTGTAAAATATTTTTGGGCGTTCAATTCGAGGATTTAGGGCTTTGGAAATAATCCGGGGCATTATCGAAATCATGGTCAGGTAACCTTTGGTTGTCTCCTGGGATATTACGCTTTTAGAGCATGAAAATTGCGTGGCATAGTCCATAGAATGTTAGCCCATATGACACGGCCCATAGAGCGACCCTGCCGGTTTCTACGACGTATATGCGATATATACACGTATATATATATGCCGTTGCCTGTATTACCCTCTTGCAGAAAATCAATGTCTCTCCTCGACTTGAGGTAGGTAGGGAACTTCGCCAAGTGGATCGGATATTGTCAAAATTGCGGCCTGGTAACTTCGGGGAGTCACCCCTAGGGTGTCGGCCCGATTTAATATTCTCGACCGGAATTGGTGCAACTGCAGACCTGCAGTTTTAGATCACATAATATATGATTTACGGCGTCCTCGGGAAGTCCTAACTTTCCTCTCTCAATATTTCTCGGATTACGGTAAACCGATTGAAAAGTTCATTTGTCCCCTGTTTGACGTAACTCGAATTGTCCGATATGCTTTTTGGAAGTCGGGGATTAAATATCGCATTTACCCTTCTTTAGATTATCCCAGAAACCCATCTAAGGTAATGTTAAAGTGGCGACGCAAAGGGTCTCGTTTATGAAATTTTTCTCCGAACTGGGCGTATCGAATCGTTACAAAGTCTGCAAAGTGAATACGGAGGCTATAAATAAGGTTGACATGACATTTGAATTGTTTAAAAACTGATTTATAGGCATTTTATATGTTATTAAAAATGACAATTTCATAGGTGTATCAGGATCTTTCTTATAGCCTCCATATTCTCGTTGTAACGTTTGAAACGATTCGGTACACCCAGTTATATCTCACCGTGCATATTCACGCATTAAAAGGTGGGACACTTTTAATACCACCGTGCCTCAAAGAGTTAAGGCCTACAATTAGAGGCCCCGAATAGGATCAAAATTTCTACTCGAGTAGGCAAAGGAGGGAGAATATGAATTCGATTCTTAGTATCAAATCCGCGGGTTTTTAAACAAAATAATTAAATAAATAATGTATTCGGTAGGCATTGGAAAATTTGGAAGGTTTAAGGCACGGAATTAATATCCCACCGTGGATATTCACGCATTAAAATGTGGGACACTTTTAATTCCACCCTGCCTAAAATAGTTAAGGCCTATAAAGGAGGGAGAATATGAATTCGGTTCTTGGTATCAAATTCACGGCTTTTTTACAAAATAATTAAATAATGTATCCGGTAGGCATTTCAAAAGGCATTGGGAAATTTGGAAGGTTTAAGGAATGCCGACGCCTCGGCGGGGACATTTCGGTAACTCTTGTCATTTTCCCGCAGTTGACATCGGGCGTGGCGTTGGTTCGGTCCTCGGGGAGAGGGTCGTCCCCATACCTCGGATTTCTTCCCTAGGGAAGAGCTTACCGGTACCCGTGACTAAACGATGACGACGGCGACGTCGACGTCGGTGTCGGAGGTGCCGCGAGTGCCGTGAACTCGGCGGTCGATCCTCGGTCGAGATCGAAGGGGGATCGGCGATCGACGGGGGTGATCATTGTGATTGTTCGTGGTGGTTTTGGTGCACAGACCCCGAGGGATTCCTGCGACTCATCCGGCTAGGCCTCGTCCTCTTCGGGGGCATCTTCATGTTGGGAGTCCTCAAGCGGCGCTGGAAGCCTTCTAAACGGTGAGCAGTGATTGTTTATTACTATATTTCTTTTTTACATATCGATGATTTAACATTCGAATACGTTATCTGATTACGCGGAGATGTTAATTAAATGGTCTTAAATTTAACGTTGGACAATATGGAGCCACTGTTATTTCATTGATGTTTGATTTCGTTACGATTAGTGGCAAGCCTTCCGAGTTTCTAAAAATGAGCAGTGACTGTTTATTACTATATTTTTTTTTTACATATCGATGATTTAACATTCGAATACGTTATCTGATTACGCGTAGATGTTAATTAAATGGTCTTAAATTTAGTGTTGGCCAATATGCAGCCACTGTTATTTCATTGATGCTTGATTTCATTACGATTAGTGGCAAGCCTTCCGAGTTTCTAAAAATGAGCAGTGACTGTTTATTACTATATTTTTTTTTACATATCGATGATTTAATTCGAATACGTTATCTGATTACGTGCAGATGTTAATTAAATGGTCTTAAATTTAGTGTTGGCCAATATGCAGCCACTGTTATTTCATTGATGCTTGATTTCGTTACGATTAGTGGCAAGCCTTCCGAGTTTCTAAAAATGAGCAGTGACTGTTTATTACTATATTTCTTTTTTACATATCTATGATTTAATTAGAATACGTTATCTGATTACGCGTAGATGTTAATTAAATGGTCTTAAATTTAGTGTTGGCCAATATGGTGCCACTGTTATTTTATTGATGTGTGATTTCGTTACGATTAGTGGCAAGCCTTCCGAGTTTCTAAAAATGGACTGACTACTCTTTACCTGTGCAGGGCAGATACGAAGTTTAGGCATAAAAACGTGTTATAAAGGGTCGGAATGACAACGAGCTCCTCCGATGAGAAATCGTACGTGAAAATTCATTCGACCACTCTTCCCGTTAATCAATGCCCGATTTATCCGCGATTTATTCCCTCCTGGGTCGGGGGATGAAAAATGCCCCTTGATTAAATGCGCGGTATCGCGGGATAAAGTGCTCGCCCGATTTTCCGTTTCCCTCTGTCCCTCTCTTCAATTATGGCTCGCGAATCCATCTTCCTACCAATTGCTTCCGCGTTTATCCGCGGATAATTTACTCTTGAATTTTTCGGTGAAAAACCTCTCTCCCGGCTGGACGGAGAGAGACCGCGGGATTATTTACTTCGTTACTTTTCTCCTTCTCTCTCTCCCTCTCTATAAGAGTTTTTTTTTTTCTTCTTCTTTTTAATCCTTTATAGGAGTCATTTCCGAGCTTTCTACTCATTTGTAACGGTAGTCCCGTGCCTTCGTTGTGCATCGTCAATTCCACCCGATCCACGTACCTTCTCGAAGGTCTCGGAAACAATGGGGGAGTTCCCCGGAAATGCATCGGATGCACCTTGCCTTCTCAGGGCCCGATTGCAATGCAGTTCCTGACGTCCTTCCTCCGATCGTTTACCGACTCAGGGTCGATTCCTCGCCACCGGATGGCTGGGATTTCTTCGAGAAATCGAAGAGGGCCCGTTCTCTTCGGAGGCCTTGCACCGGGCCTTTATGCACTCGCGAGTGCATCGACTGCCTACAGAGGAGGGAGGCTCTTTTGGCCTCGGGTATCGATCTCTTTATTATCTCGAGCCGATCCTCTCCGTTCTCTTTGAAAATTGGACTCGCAGTTCGTGCCGGAATAAAGAGGAAAATTGGGTTACGAAAATTGTCCTTTTAATTGAATTTTTAATTGGAGAAGTGCATCGTTAGGATGCGTTCAGTAAGCGAGAGCGAGGCATTATCGCGACATTAACGGCGTGAAGTAAAAAAGCTCAAGGGGTCCCTTTTATCTCTCATGGATAACCGAACTTTTCCGTCGTGGATGCAATCCAGACCGCCGACTGCAAGGGCCGATTGTATCGGTGCAGCGTATCGATCTCTCGAAAGTGAGCCTGTGCAGAGGTGTAGGCGCTAAGTTTAGAATAACCGGAGGATATTCGACATACGTGGGCCTCGTTACTCCGCGGCCTCGCGTCCTCTGTTGAAGAATAAAGAATTTCGAGCCAAAGAAAGAGTTAACGTCCCTTAAGGGGATGTCAAAGCGGCATCCGAAAGCTCAATCGTTTATAAAACTTTTCCACGAACTGGGTGTCTCAAATCGTTTCATACTTTAAAACGTGAATATGGAGACCCTAAGGTAGGTCCTGAAACTCGGGAAATTTCATTTTTTATACCCTACTTTTAAAATACCTATAAAGAAATTTGAAAGGAATTGAAATTTCATGAGTTTCAGGGCCTTCCTTATAGTCTCCTTATTCGCGTTGTAAAGTGTCAAATTATTCGGTTAATCGGGTTGGGAGAAAAGTTTAATAAACAAAACCTCTTCGACGCCACTTTCACATCACCTTAACGCGATCCCAACCCTATCTAATGTACCTTTATCCAAGCGTTGCATTTGGATATGCACGAGCTCGAATGAACATTGAAATTTCATGAGTTTCAGGACCTTCCTTATAGTCTCCCTATTCACGTTGTAAAGCTTCAAACTATTCGGTTAATCGTGTTGGGAGAAGAGTTTAATAAACAAAACCTCTTCGACGCCACTTTCACATCACCTTAACGCGATCCTAATCCTATATAATGTACCTTTATCCCAGCGTCGCATCTGCATATGCACGAGCTCTAAGAATATATAATATTCATAATTTATGTTTAATTATCAGCCGTCTCGAATCTTGTGGGTCACTTAGAGAATATAATCGACGATGATCGGCAGATTCAATCGACTGGCTATCATGCCACAGCCTCAGAAATCATTTCTGGCACTCCTCTGCTCGATTCTCACCTAACCGCCTTTTTAAAATATTTATTTATCGGTGCTTGAATAACCCTCGATTAAACCGCCCGCTGACGTCTCCTCGTCGACACCTCGAATACCGCTTTGCCCTATATTTATCCATCCGGTTGGTTTATTGACAATATCTCGGTGATTTTCGCGGTCGCTCCTCGGGGCCGACCGCTTACTTCTGATGTCATCGACCATCTAGGGCGCAATTATGCATAAACAAATGCCGGGCATGCATAAACATTACGTTCCCTGCCAAGTTGAGAGATGTCAGGGATGCCGCGGGATATGATTTATTTATCGGCGGCTTTATTTCTACCGCTCTCTCTGTATCGCGCGCATATGTACACCGCGGAAATCAATCGGCGATGTTGTCACCTTGAGGGTTATTAATTGGCGAGGAATTCCGCTTTCGTCATCGCCGTGTCGTCGATCATGCTTCGATCGGTCGGGCCGATGCCATTCGATTGCTTTCGATGCCATTCGATTGCTTTCGATGCCATTCATACCCGGCCGGCTACCTATCGACGCACCAGGGAAGGCTGCGTATCGATAACTCGCTAATCAGCCGATCGTTACATCTCCTTTCTTATCAGGGATGGAATGCATCGCTCCGAGCGGTGGCATCGTCACCGGCGGCTTCCTACTTCCGGAGTCATATTTAATGCCCTTTTTTTTCGTCGTTGAATTTTAAGCGATTCTCCTGAAGGTTGATTTGAGGTTTGAAGGACTCCTTCTTCTTCTTTTTTTATTTTTTTTTTATTTTTTTTTTTAAGCCGTTGCTATTCCTCTGCATATTACGAGGGACCAGACTCGCTCGTTAAGGAGAAGTGAAACACGTCGAGGAACTTGATCAACGTCGATAAAGAAGATTTTTCCAAATCCTTATGTTGCCGACGTTCGTTTTTATATTGACAACTGGGTCGAATTATGTTGGGTATTGTACAAAATGGCATACTCCACCTGTCGTTTTCGTACAATAATTATAAAGAAGTCGAGGTAAAGCTCCGGAAATCCTCTGGATTCGTGCTTTCTGGGGCCCTAATTGACTGCAGAGGGACCCCCTGCGCCATCTGTGATTTCCAGGTGAATTAAATTTTCACTCCGAGACCTCGTATTCCCTTCGTTTTAGCACAGAAGCGCATACGACACTTTTTTGGGTCTTTATCCCGTTCGAATGCGAGTTTATCGATTACCAGAATATTCTAAATTGTCCTGACTAAAAATAGAATTTAGACGTTCGGCTCATTTTGGATGAAAGGGGTTGAAAATGCTGTTATAGTATTTATTTATGTTCCTGGTCTGGTTATGTGCAGCGGCTCGCGGCAGGCTCTGCCGATGACGCTCGCCTTCCAAATGCAGCTGCAGCTGATCCAGCAAGGTCGAGAGCGCTGACGTTGACGAGAGATACGCGAATTAGGTTTCTATTAGGTGGATGAAGTAATTATAGAACCCAGTCGAGATGGCGACACGTGATAGCTGGGTGATTCTGACGTTAAAGGAAGATTTAATCCGGGCGAGGCCGAGCCGGTACCGTTGCTAAGTCAACCGAAGTCGATATCGCATTTATTATCTCGATCTTCTCGACGTGACTCTAGCCGTACTCCATTGTCGCATCCTGCGTCGAGTTCTTGATCGGACAAAAGTTCCGGGGGATTTTCAATTTTTTTACTGGAGTTATTAATACCGAGCGGGGAATAAATACCGAGGGATCATCGATTAAAGGAATGTACACGCTCATTTCTTGAACGAGGTAAACCAGAGGATGACTCGACCTTGACTTTGACGGCATTTTTCCGCCGTTATTTCACGCCGGGCTTTTACTTTAATGACTAACCACGCGGTCTTCAATTGCAACATCCCGAGCTCGGACAAAGGCGGAGAAAATGCAAGTGATGCAGAAACAAAAGAAGGCCTTTTAAGCTCTCAATATTGGATAAACAAAAACTGCAATCTTCATTTTTTTTTTATTTCCGTTTGGATCGGACACTTTTCCTACGCTCATTTTCGTCAGGTTGAAGAGTAATTTCAGTTTCTTTTTTTTTTCTTTAATCGATTTTAATAAAGGATCGTCACATCGCGAGCGGACGATATCGCGGCCTTGACATCGCCGAAGGACTGGCACTGGCGACATTTTATCGCACGATGATTCGGGTCAGCTTTTGCATTTAATGAATGGTCACGTGGCTCCCAT